ATTTGAAAGAAAATAGGATGCTCATCAATATACATTTTTTATATTTAAGAAGAGTTAAACAATCATTTAATAAAGTCGAATGATATCAAAAAAAATAAACTGGATTAATATTAATGGCCAATACTGTATATAAATATAATATATATATATATATATATATATATATATATATATATATATATATATATATATATATATATATATATATATATTGAATATTTAAATGAAAAAAATACGACTTTTTTATGGGACTTCATGTTTCATGCCATTCGGCAATCATTCAGCCATATATTTAAAAATCATTAAAATAAAAACCGTTATAAAAATACAAAATTGCGTTGCAACGAGATTATTTAACCGGTTTCGAAATTCGATAGCAAAAACAAAAAGTTTTTGCTATCGAATTTCGACACCGGTTAAATAAATTCCTGTTTGGCGTGAAAACTGACGTTTGATCTTGTTGCAACGCAATTTTGTATTTTTATAACGGTTTTTATTTTAATGATTTTTAAATATATGGCTGAATGATTGCCGAATGGCATGAAACTTGAAGTCCCATAAAAAAGTCGTATTTTTTTCATTTAAATATTTAATATATTTTGATCTATTTTATAAATATCAATCACTCTTAAACCGACAAAGAGCTGTATTAAATCCAACAGAATACAACACAACTCAATAATAATATATATATATATATATATATATATATATATATATATATATATATATATATACATATATATATATATATATATATATATATATATATATATATATATATATATATATATATTATTATTATTATTATTATTATTATTATTATTATTATTATTATTAAATGCTGCAACTGGTATGAACCAGTGAGTGTGTTATTAGCACACTATGACAGCTGATTTGCCTGACTGCTGCTCATCCAGCAATCAAGACCGGCTTTAAAACTGTTAACTGTTTCTGAATTAACCAAATCGTTCGGCAAGCTATTCCATAAATTGGCTGATCTGTTAAAGAAAAAGTTTTCTCGATGAGCTTGCTTTGTGATTTCTTTTACATATTTAAACCGGTGACCTCTTGTTTGAATTTGTTGAAAATTAAACTTTCTTTTTGTTTCTAATTTGTTGAAATCGTTAAAGATCTTAAAAAGTTGAATCATGTCTCCTCTCTTTCTTCTATTTGTTAATGTAGTTAATTCAAGAGCTTTTAGACGATTCTCATAGTTGATTTTCTTGAGTGATGGTATTAGTCGAGTTGCACGATGTTGATTTCTTTCCAATAAGTCAATTTCACCCTTTTGATTTGGTGACCAAACGGGTACTGCAAGTTCTAATAGTGGCCTGATAAAAGATACATAAAGTGATCTCAGTAGTCTAATATCTAAACAAACAAAGCATTTTCTAATCACACCCAACATTTGATTAGCTTTGCCTACGCATGATATCACTTGATTTTTCCATATTAGGTTGTTTGAGAAAATTACTCCTAGATCTTGTTCAGATTCTGTTTTGTTTAATTTTTGTTTATTGATATAAAGTGGTGTTTTTCTGTTATTAATCCCATAGTGCATGACCATACATTTAGAAATATTGAACTTTACAAGCCACTCTTGAGTCCACTTAAAAGCTCTATGAAGATCTGCTTCCAAAGACACTGTTGATTCGTAGGAAATCATTTCATTCATTATTTTAGCGTCATCAGCGTACAGCATAGATATGTTTTTTAAGGTTTCAGGAAAATCGTTAATAAATAGAACGAACAAAAGTGGTCCAATTACGGACCCCTGTGGCACACCGCTGATAATTTCTGCCCAAGAAGATAGGTTTTCGCCTAGCACAACTCTTTGTTTTCTATTTTTCAGAAAAGCTTCAATCCATTTAATTGGTAGACCAGATATTCCATAAGCTGCTAGTTTTAGTAACAGCCTTTTATGGGGCACTGTGTCAAATGCCCTAGCAAAATCCAAAAAAATAACATTAACAGGTTTACCATTTTCTAAACTGGTGGAAATAAAATCTAGTGTATCAAGTAGATTTGTTGTGCATGGTTTACTTTTAACAAAACCGTGCTGCTGCTTGACTATAAGTTTATACTCATTCAGAAAAATTTCAAGTTTACATCTCATTATACCATTATTTTACAAGCAATTGAGGTGAGTGATAACGGTCGGTAGTTTACTGCTAAGGTTTTTTCACCTTTTTTGTACAGAGGAGTAATATTTGCTGATCTTAATTGCTCAGGCAATTTGCTAGTTTCAAACGATTCTTTATCGATATGTAAGTGGAATAGCAAATGCTGATGCACAGTTTTTTAAAATAGCTGAATGTAAGTTATCAACACTACTTGATTTGTTTTCTTTCAAGTGTTTTAATCTTAAAAAGACATCTTCATATTTAAAATCTTCAGTCATCATAATAAATGTTTCATTTGTTCTTATCCGAAAGTAAGGCAGCGGACCATTGTCTTCTCTCACAAATGCTGCTTGAAATTTTTTGTTTAAAATATCCGCAACATATTTTGGATTTTGAGTGGTTTCACCATCCGTTCCTTTTAATGCTTTGATTCAATCTCTCACTGCTCGTTGATTGTTTATGTAGCTGTACAGGAGCTTTGGATTCTTGGCAGCTCCTTTTACCAGATCATATTCAAAGTTTTGTCTAACTTTTTTGATCTCATGCTCTACTTTTTCACAAATCATTTTGTATTCAAATTTTAGAACAGGGTCTTTCCATTTACACGAGCAATTTTTGTATCTTAAATTTTGCTTGCTTCTGAAAATAAAATTTTAAACTGGCATTTACCCAGGCTGGTCTGATTTTTAGAGAGTTGATTGTCATTTTAGTAGGAGTGAAATGATTACATGCCACTTCTGTGTAATAAATAAGTTCATCAAACACTTCCTGAACGTATTTACTGCTAAAGCATCTTATCCAGTCAACACTTGAAATTAGATCAGATATTTTGTCAAACTTAGATTTGGCAAACATAAATCTTTGCTTGCTTTTATAATCACTGACTGCTTTATCAGCTAAGATAAAATCAAAACATATTATTAAATGACCTCTCTTTATATTTCCCAGAACGAACTTTGAGTCTATTAAACTATCACTTGCTGACTGAGTTGTAAAAACTAAATCTAAGGTATTTATAAGTTGATCGTCTGACAGCTGGAAAGTTGGTATGTTGATATGCTGGTAAAAGAAATTTTCATTTAAAATATCTGAAATTTTGTGTTCAATTCCATTCTTATTTGAAATTACATCTACACAGCCATTTGCCCAGCTAATAGATGGAAAATTGAAGTCACCCATAACTAGAAAATCTTTGAACTTATTTTTATCAATAAACTCACGTGCACGTCTGAATACCACATAAAATTCTGACATGTCTATAAAATCATTTGGCCTGTAGATCAGCCAAGCAGATACTTGTCTTTACCAAAGTAAACTACTGCCCACACTTGTTCAAGTTTGCAAAGGTTTAGACCTGCATCATTTAGTTCATATGAGTCTATTAAATTGTCTATATATAAACACACTCCACCACCTTGTCTGCCATCTAATCTGTCTTTTCTATACAAGTGAAAACCCTCAACATTTACCACTGAATTGTCTTTTCATTTACCACTGAAAAGTCTCAGTCACAGCAACTACATGTGGTTTGTATTGTTCGATCACAACTTTAAATTCATTTAATTTGTTATCGAGAGAAGTAGCATTTAAATATAAACATGACAGCTTTTTAACTTCAATACCATCTGAAACCGAATCTTAAGGAAACTTATTGATTTGATTTCTTTTTAAATTTTAGGATTTGATTGCCACGGATGCCATACCAAAAAGGATCATTGTCTGTTCTTGCTTGATTCATTTTATTTCTTTCAGTTCTAAGATTGAAATCTTGTAACCTTTGTGCTTCTGTTAAGTCTGGACAAAGATAACAATTTTGATGCAGCTCATTACTTCTCAATTGCTTAGCTGATTATAATATTTTATTGCGAAGAAAATCCTCAGTTAATTCAACTAGAATTGCGCCTGGTTTATCAGTTTTAGATCTCAACCAAAATTTTGGTATAACATTCTCTTGATCTATAACTTTAAAAATTTCTTTTACTTTTGACTCATCGTCTTTTGATTTCATTTCGATGTTTTCATTAGCAGATTCAGCTACACCATAAGTAATAACATTTTTTGCTCTTCTCTTTCTCTCCTCTAATTCATTAATGGCTACATTTGTTGTTACTAGTTGTTCTGTTGGCTTCTTTTTTTGTTTACCCTGTTTAACAATAAGAGACCAATCACAGATAGACTTGCTTGAATTAGCTGCTTTGATTATTTCTGTTTTTATATTTTGAATGTTGCTGTCATTTTCAATCTTAGTTGTTTCTAATTTTTGCAATCGTTCAAAGAGTTCCAAAAAAGCAAGTGAAAGCTGGCTACACCAATTATGAATATCTTTAGTTGATTGCGAATGTGAACCAGCACCCAGTTTCGGCCAATTGTCTTGTTTAAGAAAATCCAAATTCATTATTATAATTGATTATTCTTACTATATATATATATATATATATATATATATATATATATATATATATATATATATATATATATATATATATATATATATATATATATATATATATATATATATATATATATATATATATATATATATATATATATATATAATATATATATATATATATGTATATATGTATATATGTATATATATGTATATATATGTATATATGTATATATGTGTATATATGTATATATGTGTATATATATATATATATATATATATATATATATATATATATATATATATATATATATATATATATATATATATATATATATATATATATATATATATATATATATATATATATATATATATATATATATATATATATATATATATATATATAAGGAAGATCCTTTTTTTTTTTTCTTTTTTTTTTTTTGAAATAAAAAAAATGTTAAAAATTTAACTTTATTTTATAGAAATTGATGATTGATTTTGGAAACAGTGATGAAGCTTATAAAAATCAGGTTTAATGAAAATTTTATAAATTTTAAGGAAAGGATAATTCTTTATAAATATTTATGTATTAATTTTTAAGGTTCAAACTTAACAAACTTTAATGTTTTAAGTAATTTAGGTTTAATTAAAAATAGAAAAAAAATATTTAACTAATATTTTTAATTTTATAATAAATTTATTGATGTTGTAAATACTTATAGCTATTACAACAAATACATTGATGGAATAAATATTTATAGTTCTTTTAACAAATATGTTAATGTTATAATATTTTATGTTTATCATAGTAAATATATTATTATAAATACTTATAATTGTTCTATTAAAATATATTATTGTTAAAAATATTTAATGTTAAATAAATCTCTTTACTGTTTATAATCTGAAAAAAAATATTTTAAATGCAGTTAAATAATCAATTGGACCAGATTGCTGAATTAAAAAAAGCGCTTACAATTTCAGAAAGTTTAGCAGAGGTTATTTTATTTCTACTTTTTACAAATGAAAATAAAATTTTATTTAGTCATTTACTAACTGTATTTTATATATCTTTACAGAATTTACAAAAAGATCTTTTAAATATACATTCAGAATCTAAAAAACAGGTATGTTTGTTTAATAAATAATATTTGCATTAAAATATATTTGTTTGTTTTTTAGGTGTTGCTTTTAATGTTTTTTAGGTGTTGCTTTTAATGTTTTTTAGGTGTTGCTTTTAATGTTTTTGTGTTGTTTTTCATATTTTTTAAAGCTGAAACTTATAGTATACTAGTGTAATTTTTGTTTTGAATAGCAAATGGGCATCCATAAAAAACATGCACAGTGAAACCACTGATTTAGGATGTGAATACACATTTATGCTTTCAATGCCCTCTATTTACTCAACCTCTTTTGCGTATGTAATCATTATATATTTAAAATCAACCCCCTCCTTATCGCATAAATTTTTCTTTATATTAAAAACAAATAAACTAATTAGATATATCTAAGTTACGTAATGTAAAATATAATGCTTGTTGTTTTAAAAAAATCATGTTTTTGGAGAGATAGTCATCTCTCCTAAAACTTGATTTTTTTTAAAACAACAAACATTAAATATTATGAGTTTAAAATATTAACATTACATTATATAATTTAGTTATCTTTAATTAGTTTTTTTGTTTTTAATATTGAGAAAAATTTATGCGTTAAGTAAAGGGTGTTGATTTTAAATTTTAACCGACTTGCTGTCTCCTCTCACTGTACCCCCCTTCCTCCTCCTTTTTGTACGCATTTGTATGCTTTAGGTAACCTATCCCCCATACCTGCATTCTTACTTTATGGAAGACCCCAAAGTCTATTTTTGGTAAATAAAAGCATTTAATGTAAACTATACAAATATGTATGTTGTATATTAAGTGTCCAATTTTTTGCTTTTTTTAATTTTTTTTATTTATAACTATTTTCAAGAAGCATTAAACTTAATGTTGAAAAGAAAAGTTTTTTACTACGAAATTTTAATGCTGCAGTTTTTTAATCTTTAAATCAAGTCAGATTTTGAGTTGAAAAAAAAAAATGGGGCGTTGTATGTTACACTTAAATTTTAATTTATATTTAACTAAGTGTTTGTCTATTTTTATTTATTACATAATTATTTTTTAATTAACTAAAGGTTACACTATGTATATAGTTATATTAAGTATATATATATATATATGTATATATATATATATATATATATATATATATATATATATATATATATATATATATATATATATATATATATATATATATATATATATATATATATATATATATATATTTACAGGTAGTACTATTGGTAAATCAAATTAGCGATATCAGTTCTGCGAAAAGCAATGAAGAGGCAGCAAGAAAGGTTTTTTTGTTTAGTTTTTTACTCATATATACATTTTATAAAGGTACTTAAAAACTTAACTCTTTTTTATTTAAAATTAAACACTGTGTTGTAAATAAAAATTTCAAATAAAATACTTTAAATAAAGAAAAATTATATATTGTAATTATAAGTTGTATATAAATAATTATATATTAAACATGTGTTAAAAAAAGAGAGAAAAACGAACTTTACGTTTCTTTACTTTTACTTAAGCAAGCGTTGGCATACGATCAAAAATTTTTTAAAGCCAACGCATAACTTCAGCAGTTTTTTTTTTTTATATAGTTTTTTATTTATAATTTATTAATTTATAGTTTTTTATTTATAATAAAAAAACAATAAACTACTAAAATGCATTTTAAATAATTAGTTACTAAAACACATTTTCAAAGAAACCAAGCTAAAATAGGATTAGTTTAATTATCATATTAATAGTGCTACTTTTAAGTTAAATGACAGTATGCTATTAAAGAAAGTATTTTTGTTTTAGTATGGTTTTTACATCTGTTTAAAAAAGCAAAATGCAAAATTTTACTTAAAATAAATGCCTTTGCCATTACTTAAAATAAACCATGCTAAACATTGCTTTATTTAAAAGCGTGCCTTTTTAAAAAAAAATTTATTATTGTTTAAATGAAATAATGTTCGTTTGGATTTAAAAACACTTTTAAAAGTTTCAGTTTTGCTGAAATATATATAATCTAATAGAATATATATTTAATCTAATAGAATATATGTATAATCTAATAGAATATATATTTAATCTAATAGAATATATATTTAATCTAATAGAATATATATTTATTCTAATAGAATATATATTTAATCTAATAGAATATATATTTAATCTAATAGAATATATATTTAATCTAATAGAATATATATTTAATCTAATAGAATATATATTTAATCTAATAGAATATATATAATTTTGTTTACTTTAAATAAAAACTACACTGAATAAAAAACTATGGAAAAAAAAAATTCATAATTATGACAACAAAATTTCTCTATCGAGAAATTTTGTTGTCATAATTATGAATATTACAACAAATTTATTTGTAGCTGAATTTAAAAAATTGAAATTTTTTAAATTTAAATGAAAATAGATTTGAAGTATAAATTTAAATTTTATATATAATAGGCTTAGAAGCAGCAAGATTTTAATGATGTCATTTCAGCCCAAAAAATGGGAAAACATAGTTAACTTTGTTTGTTATTTAATCATTAATATTAGGGGTTGTTTTTTTTCATTTTTTTACTCAAAAGAGTAAATAAAAAATAATAATATTAAAAAAAAGTTCTGTTATTGAATTAATAAAAAGTTTGAGTTTTTATTTATCTTTAGATTTTAGAAATGCAAAGTCAGACATTAATTAAAGAACTAACAGATAAGGTAACCTAGTTTTCTTAATATTTTTCTTCTTTTATTATAATATTTTTGTTATATAAGGTTGTGTATAAATGTACTGTTCTGATTAAATTCATCAAAAAAGTGTTTTCTTTAATAATGAATGAATTTTATTAAGTTAATGAATAAGATTGTAAGTTTTTTTTAAAAAAAAAAAGAGTGTCTTAAATAATTAACAATATCTACACAGTATACATAATACATTAAATACATAATATATTATATAAAAGCAAACATTAAACTACCAATTGTCCTTTAAACAAGGATGAGGTTCATTGTAGTATGTTTACATTTCTTGCTGTAGCTTTTAAGGTTGTTTTTTTATATTATATAATATTAGCTAATTATTTTATGTGTTTTATATTATGTTGTTATAAATATGTTATGTTATATTCTTATTATTACTATTATGTTTTATACTATTAACAATTTCTATAAGCAACTAAAAATTTTAAAAGAAAAAAAAAAATAAGTTGTATGGTATTTTTAAATATTAAAATAATATTTCTTTTAATTTTATAAAATATATAAAAACAATACATAGAAATTTCTTTTTAAGTAAATATTAAATAAGCAAATAAATTAGGTATTATAAGTTGGTTTTGTTGTTAGTTTTATAAAAATTATAAACAATGTGTACAGCAATTCATAATATATTTTAATTTTCGTTTACACAATTTGACAATTTACATGTTAACATAATTTTACTTGTTTGTTTTAATTTTCCCTAATAATTATTATTTTTAAATTAGTATTTGATTATTAATATTTTTTTTTATTTTTATACTTTAGAACAAAGTTTGCAATGAAGCTTTAGATCATTTAGAGAATGAAAAGTTAAATCTCAACAATGAAAAAGAGGTTTTACTACTATTTTGTTTATTATTTTGTTTTTGTTTGTGTGTTTATATATATATATATATAATATATATATATATATATATATATATATATATATATATATATATATATATATATATATATATATGCATTATATTATGAATAATATTATTTAACATTATTTGTGGCTGAATTAAAGAAATTTGGGTTTTTATTTTAAATGAAAATAGATTTAAAATATAAATTTTAATTTAATATTAAATAGGCTTAGAATCTTTTTTCAGCAGCAAGATTTTAATAATGACAATTCTGCAGCAAGATTTTAATGACGTCAATCCTGCAGCAAAATTTTAATGGTACTAATCCAGCAGCAAGGTTTTAATGATATCAATTCAGCCTTAAAATATTGAAAAACATAGTTATCTATGGCTTTTCATGCAAGATAATAATTAGTTTTACAGGTTTTCATCTAGTCACAATTATTTAGTATAAAACTTAAAGAAAAAAAATATAATATATAAGTAAAAAAGATGAACTTAAATAATGTCACATGTTTTAAAAAGCACAAAAAATAAATTATCATATAGTTGATTTGATTTAAAAAAAAAGTAATATTGGTTTATTTAACTGTTAATTGTGCTAATAATTATAGTTTAAATAGTAAATATACTGTGTTTAATTGATGAAGCTTTAAATAATAATAAGGATTAGATAATTTAAATTTTTAACATTTTATTCCATCATTTTGTTACTTTATTTTATCGTATTTATTTAAATTACTTTTTGTCAAAATTTTTTTATTTTGTTCTTGCTACATGATCTTTAAAACTTATTGCATAATAGAATCTTGTTATATCAAAACTATTGGTACTATCCAAAATATGAATAGATATATACTATAAATAAGAAGTTTATAAATAAGCTATTTAAAATTGTTTGTTTATATATTAAAATGTTTTAATATATTTATTAACTATTTATTAAATAAGCTATTTAAAATTGTTTGCTTATATATTAAAATGTTTTAATATATTTATTAGAAACTTGAATCATCAATTAAAAGTTTAAAAGAAAAATATGCATTAGAGGTAAATTTAAATTCTTTTAACTTTAATCAATATAAAGTTATTATTTTTAACCCTTAAATTTATTTGTCTATTGAAAAATCACATAAATATATATATATATATATATATATATATATATATATATATATATATATATATATATATATATATATATACACATATATGTATGTCATAGTTTAATATATATATATATATATATATATATATATATATATATATATATATATATATATATATATATATATATATATATATATATATACACATATATGTATGTCATAGTTTAATATATATATATATATATATATATATATATATATATATATATATATATATATATATATATATATATATATATATATATATATATATATATATATATATATATATATATTACACTATGACATTGTTACCTTATCTAAATTTCAGAATGATACCTTGAACAAGCAGTTACAAATGTTACAGCAAAATTTACAAAACTTAATAACAGAAAAGCAGGTTTGAAGTTTAAATATTTTATTAATAATTAAAACTATGATGTTACATGATACTAAATTATAAATGTTGTGGTATTTCTAAAAAGTGTGTAACCTACCATAAATCATGGTTTTCCTCTCTGATAAGTCTTGCATATAAGTCCTTGCCCTTAAGCCCAATATGAAAAATAGGCCATAACCTTTGAATTCGATCTTATAAGGATTTTTTCTTATAATTTTTATTTCTTTAGACAGAGTCAGATAAAACCTTTTCAGAGCAAGTTTTAAGTAAATTTAAATTATAATCTAAAAAAGACTGCAGTTTTTATTTAATGGATTTACTTGGGTTTTCTTTACTTATTTAAAGAAATTTATGCAGGATATTTTTACAGTCATTTTCAGTCAATATATGAGTAATATATTGCTGCTATGAATCAGGATCTTGTAAAATATAAAAGTATAGATAAAAACAAAAACAATGAGGTTTTAAAATTCTTAAACTTCATAGAGAGAAAAAATATATTAATTAATAATGAATTATGTAATAAATAAAGTATTAAATTTAGGACTAAAAATGGTTTTAACAAATAATCCATTAGTAGCTTTTTCTATCATATAATGGTACTTGATTTGATATGCATAAACATAGGAAAATATTATTTTTTTTAATGTAACAATAAGTTCAAACTTTCAAAGTCTTTGAGAAAGCTTTACAAATATGGTCAATAAAATTGTCAAACAATGAAAAAAATACTGAAGCTAAGGCTAGGATAATATTTTCAAAAATTTGTTGACTTTTTATAGTATAACTGTCTCAAGTAGAATGTTTCCGAATAGAATCAACATTAGTGTAGCTAATTCAATAATTTTGGCAAGTTTACATAACCAAAGTTATTATAATTGAAGTTTACATAACCAAAATATACTTAATGAATGAATTTTGGTATAAATAGCCTGGGAAAAACTTTCATTATCACACAGTGAAGTAAAAGTGAAGTAAACCAGTTCAATCTACACTATATCCTGTTGCCTTGCAGGACTTTTTTTTCTAGGCCAAGGCTAATAGAAATTAATTCTAACCTAAAATGCCCTTGTATTGGGGTACTTTGGTGGAGTAAAAGCTAGAGATGGGGTTTTAAAAGTTAGAGGGCGTTTGCTGGATAAAAATAGTCAGCTCAGACAAATTTTAACTCTTTGTAATTTTTTTTTTGTCACAATCTTTGGGTTGATATCTTTTGTCTCTCCTCTGATAATTGTACCTCCTATGTAATCTTCTGAATTAAGTTTTTAAAAACTCTGGTGAACAATCAATTTATAGTATAACTGTCTCAAGTAGAATGTTTCCGAATAGAATCAACATTAGTGTAGCTAATTCAATAATTTTGGCAAGTTTACATAACCAAAGTTATTATAATTGAAGTTTACATAACCAAAATTTACATAACCAAAATATACTTAATGAATGAATTTTGGTATAAATAGCCTGTTTTTAAAAACTCTGGTGAACAATCTGAGTATCCTCTAAGTATTGTCCAACTGACTGGTCTTGATATGTCAAAGGTTTTCATATAGCATCCTGTATAGTCTAACATGGTGAACTTATCCATAACTTTTACAAATCTCTTATTCATCCCTGTATGAATCCCTTTTAACAGTATTTACGATTTTAATCTTTAATCCTGCAACTGTTAAGATTTATTTAGATTGCCAATAACTTGAATCTAAACCCATTAAATGTCCTAGCTAACATAGCTAACACAAAAAGCATCCCTTGTTATCATATTCGAGCTGGTTATTCTAATAATATTCTTTTTTTTTAAGGCAAGGTTCATCGAGGTATTGTGAATGTAGTTGGATCTGCCAAGCTAGAGCAGATCCAACTACATTCATAATACCTTTCAAAAGCCATAATTGTCCATATGTCCATAATAACAATAAAAGTCCATAATAATAAGTCTAAAAAGTCCATATGGTCATAATTCAAGGTCCATAAAGTTATTGTGAATGTACCTTGTAGCCAAGCTTAGGCAGTTAACTCTCCTATCTTCATCTTCATCACTCTTCATCTTTTCTTGACTCATACAGTTTTTAATTTGGCCAGATCCACTATTATGTTAATTAAGCTCTTTTTACTTCTGGAGATTCTTTAGCAGTATCTATAATAAGGGCAAATCTGTTATTCCACTTTTATTGTATGGTTCAGATTTTTTACCTCACCTCTAAAAAGACAAAGCTGAGTTTTTTGCTAAAAACTTTTCATCAATATCATCTTATATTTCTAATAGTTGCATTCTATTTGATATAGCCGACAAACTTGTTGATCCATTGCTCAACATTCATATCACTCCAGCTTCTGTAAATAAAGTGATTTTTTGCGTAGACTCTTCTACAACTTGTGGTCTGGACAACATACCTGTTATATTCTTGCAGAAGTGTTTTCCGGAGCTGTTGTCTATACTTTCAAAATTTAACAAGTGCTTATTGGTATTTAACAAGTGCTTATCAGAGTCTTTTTTTCCATCCTGCTGGAAAATAGCAACTGTTATGCCTCTTTTCAAAAACTCTGAAGAGCAATCTGACTCATCTAACTACCATCTTATTAGTCTTCTTCCTATCATAAACAAGGTTTTTGAATCTTTAATTAACACTTAATCTCTCATCTTGAATCTAATAACTTACTTTCTGATCATCAATATGGGTTTCAATCTTCTTGTTCTACAGCTAATTTGCTAACAGTAATAACCAATAGGTTTTACCGTGCATTAGATAGAGCTAGAGAGGTTAGAGCTATCGCTCTTAACATTTAACAAAGCTTTTGATAAAGTTTGGCTGGCTTCCTTCTTAAGGTATATCAGGTAACATTTTTAAGATTATTGAATCGTTCTTTTCCTTACTTAAAGTTAAGAAGTATTAAAGTTGTCCTTGATGGACAGCACTCTTCTTTATATCCTGTAACTTTAGGGGTTCCTCAAGGTTTTATCCTTGGCCCTATACTCTTTTTAATTTACATAAGTGATCTTCCAGATATTCTCATATCTAAGATGGCATTATTCGCTGATGATACTACCATTTATTTTTGTGTTGATAAGAAGCTAAGACTCTCTGATATCTTGGAGGGGGCATTTGAGCTTGAAAAAGATCTCACTTTTGCTACAGCATGAGGCTCACAGTGACTGGTGAACTTTAGCTCATATAAAAAACTCAATTTTTTCAGCTAATCATTATGGCAACAGTCTAGATCCTTATATTCATAAACGGTAATGTACTAGGATGAGTCTTCTCTTGGAAATCATATATCAAATCAATTGCAAAATTTGCATCTGTTAAGATTGCATCTCTTTATTTTGCTGGACACTTACATACTCCGGATTCTATTCTTTATCTCTGCTAACTCAAATCTGTCTTTGTATAGAATACTGTTGCCGTATCTGGGCGGATCTTCCAATAATGCCCTTTCTTTTTTTAAAAAAGGTGCATAAACGCATTTTAAACATAGTTGGATTTGCTCTTGCAGCCAACCTCACATCCTTGTAATGTTGCTTCACTTTCTCTTTTCTACAATTTTTTTTACAAATTCTCTTTTTCTTTTCTACATAATGCTTTAAATAGCTAGCATCTCTTGTGCCATCTACTAAAATTCAATCTAGTGTTACTTGTCATTTAATAAAGTCTCATCTTTTTACTGTGACTGTTCCTAAGTGCTCCAAAAACTCTTATTTGTCTAGTTTTTTCCTCAAACAACAGAGTTCAAACATCTTTGGAGTTCACTTCCTTCTTCTTACATTCCTGATTCATATAATTTGCAATCTTTTAAATCGTCTGTCAAAAAATAGTGATTTAATGAGACATAAAACACTAATCTAAGTCATTTGTGATTTTGTGGTTTGAAAAGGATGTAAACCATATTTGTTAACTATTTCAAACTTCTATGTTTTTGTTTTCAACAATGGAATTAGAGCCAAATTTTTGTATTTTGCAAAATTGTTGTATTTTACGAAATGTGCATGGCATAGTTAGAAGCAATTTGATAGTTATCAATAAATTTTGATATGTGTATTTTGTACTTTTTAATTTTGACAGGTATGTTGTAGGTATGTTGTGTTTAGAATTGTCATGAAAATAAAGAGTTATGTTGAATACTCAAGTCATTGATTAAGCACTAATTAAAATTAAAATTAATTTACATTATTTTAATAAAACAAAATGAAAAATGTGTAATTTGTTTCTTTATTTAATTTAAAAAAATAAAGTTTATATTATTAATTGATTAATGTTTCGTTATGGTAATAAATGTAAATAAATTATAAGATATTGTTTATAATAAATTTGTTTATTAATAGCAATTAGAAGCAAATCTCTTACAAAATAAAGCATTTTATGATCAAAATGTAAGTTTTTTTTATTTATTTATTAGAAAAATTTAGTACACATATTTTACTCAGCTCAGTGCACTATTAAGAATTTTTTAATTTTTAACTATATATTTTAAATTAAATTAATTATTTAAATAAAAAAAAGTAATTAAACTTTGAATATTAAACTTTAAAACGCAAGTGGAACTACTATGGTCATGGTGGCGTGATGGTGGCTAATAATATTGTGAAGTTAAATTATAGTAAAAAATTAATTTACTAAAAAAAAGAGAAAAAACTATAAAAGAGACTAAAACAATATTGATTATTATATATATATATATATATATATATATATATATATATATATATATATATATATATATATATATATATATATATATATATATATATATATATATATATATATATTTATATATATATATATATATATATATATATATATATATATATATATATATATATATATATATATATATATATATATATATATATATATATAAAACTAAGATGTACATTGAGTGATCAAAACATTTTATTCAACTAGTGTTTGATTTTAAATTGTGTTAGGAAATAGATAGGGAAAAAAAGCATGAAGATGACTTGTTTAAAAGCAAATTGGAGTTGCTAGGTTTGTAGTATTTTAATTGTTTTATTATTTTGTTCATCTTTTGTTCTTGTTAATTCAGATCTTATTTAGGGTGAGGCTAAGTTTTTTGTTTTTTGTTTTTTTTTTATCGCTAATTTAGGTCTTTCATGGTTATTTATTTGTATTTTTCGTGCTAGTTTGCTTAACTTTACTTTAATTATTTTTGCTTGTTTTAATCTAATTTGTTTTAGTTTAATCTTTCATTCTTCTTTATTTTGGTTTTAAATTTTTTTTCATTCAGATGTTGGGTATGATTTTAGAATTTTAAATTTTTATCTATTCTTTTAAACAACCTAATGTTGTTTAAAAAATTTTTTTTTTCTTAAATGCAATTACAGCATCAACAGCAAAAGAATGTGAGGAAATAATTCAGGAAACACTTAATATATTTAATGACCTTCGACATGAAAATGGCACCACTTGTTCTAGTGGTATACTTTATAACATTTTTTTTTTCTGTTTTAAAGTTATTCCCTTTAATTTCATATTTACATATTATTAAATGCATTTTATATATTTTTAAACCAATATATTAATACATTTTGCAATTTTGTTTTTCTTTATTTGTAGAATATCTAAAATTAAGATTGGAAGGTTTAAATGAGAAGATACTTAATACCAACGAGAGTTATTCTTCTTTTTATGACAATCATCAAGGTTGTTTTTTTTTTTTCATTTTTTCTGAACAAAATTGAAATCAATGTATTTCAGATATTTTTTAAAAAGTTTTTTGTAGCGTTATTCAAAAATTTTACAAACATTTTTTTGGTTTATAATTGTGCAAAATATTTTTTAGTAAAAAATTTTTTGTAATGTTTGTTTGTAATATTACAGAATTAGCGAAGAAAATTTTTTTATAGGTAATTCTGTAATATTCTTTCTTCCTGTAGATGTTATTCCACTTGTGAATCATATCAATTCTACATGTCATCGTATTAGTGATGCAATGATTAATGGGAAGGCTACATCTCACATGGGAGAAGCAGAAGATTCTCAAAGTGACTTTTAAAATTTTGTTTTATAAATATATCTTAAATATATTTATACAACTAGTTCAAGATTTTAGCAAAAACTAAACATTAAAAGACAGTGTATAAAACAATAATTATCTAAAAGAAAAATTATTTTTTTCAAACTTTTTTTAGTAATCTGAAGTATGTGAAAGTTTTTTTGTTTTTTAGATATTGTTGCAGCGTGTAAAAACATAGGATATAAAACATTGAATTATCTTACTAGTTTTAAACTAAATCAGGGTTAGTTTTCTTTTGTTATCTAAATTTATTTTTGAATAGTGACAATAATATTTTTATTTTTTTCCTAATTACTTTAATTACCATTAATTTTCAAAATTATTTTTAAGTACCTGATTTGGTAAAGATTGAAGGCAGCCATGTACAGCAAGCAATATTATCTCTGCAAAAAATAACAGAGGTACAATTTTCATTTTTAGTGGTGCTAAATGTGCAAAAGGTTATCCCAAAGTTTTGTGTTTGTTAAGAAAGAACTTTTTATCAAATTCTTTTTTAGGATATTATTTTAAAGCAACAATCTGAAATCTCAAATAAAAATGAAAATATTGTTGATGAAGAAATTCAGGCTACTGAACAGGTTGATTTAAATGTTCTAATAACTTTTTTTTATCTGTTATTTACTGTTTTTTTTATTTATTGAAAATTAAAATCTTTTAAAAACCGTATCTTAAATGGGTATTCAATCTGCTTTTCAGAAATACCTTGTAATTTGAAAATTTCTATAACTCTCCTATTCGACATATCAATTTTTATCAATTTTGCTCAGAATAAAATTAAAAATATATATATTTTATAAAATTCATTGTAAATAGAAAAATGTTCAGCTAGATTTGTATTAAAAAAATAATTTCCACTTATCATCAGATTCATTTTATACTGCTATTTGATGTTAATAATATTTTATAATAACATTAACATCAAAAATTAGTTCCAATTGTTGTCATATTTTTGACAAGTTTACTGAATTATCCTTTACTACTCTACAAACTTTAGACCAAATTGATATAGAATTCTTTCTTACAGCTACATTAACCAATCAGAATACATGAAATGCCAGATGTATTGATTGTTTCTGCAAAATAGATATCTGAATTCATTGTTGTTACTGTTCCACAAACTACTGGCTCATTGTGAACCTTGCTCTACCCATTAATACTCATAATTACAGACTGATCACAACAAGCCTAATCAGCTACTTTTTTAGTTTTCTTTACTAATATCCATTCTATTAGAATGGTTATATCCTGGATGTAAGAAATTGGTCATTTTGATAAACTCTGAATGTACTGCCGCTGCTAGTTGTCACTGTCTCAACACTCCTCCTTCATACTGCTACCTTTTTATATGAACTCAAAAAGCTTGTTTTTTCTACAGTAGATTGACTAGATTCTGTTTTCTCTATAGAAGATTGACTCCCTCAACTGGTAGGTATTTTCAACAGTATCTTGACAAAATTGAATGTATTAGCGTTTAACATTTTAATTTCAAGTTATACTTATATTTAATTTAAACTAAAATGAATTAGTAACTATGATAACTCAATAAAATGTATAAGCAAAATAAATTTAAAAGAAATCAAAACTACAATGAAAAAAAATTTATCAATATTGTTACAAAGGGAAATTCATCAATATTGTTACTAAAGGAAATTTATCAAGGTTGTTACTAAGGAAAATTCATCAAGGTTGTTGAATGTTAAAAAAACTATCCTAGCTAACACTAGCCAACTGAATATATAATTTTTGTTATTGTTGCTATAAATTTTGTTTGTCATAAAAAAGTGTTGCTTAATTAAGAAGTCTTTTAAATCTCATCCATCCATCTCATATTTAGATTGTTGCTGATGCAGCTCTTCGAATTGAGGTAATTTGTTGTATTGTATTAATTGTTATAGTATTTTTATTGATTGTTATAGTTTGCAGCATAATGTACATATAGTGTATGTATGTATGTATGTATATATGTATGTATGTATGTATGTATGTATGTATGTATGTATGTATGTATGTATGTATGTATGTATGTATGTATGTATGTATGTATGTATCTCAGATTGTTAATTTAAATTTTTTTGCAGTTTTTAAAAATAAAATAATAAAACTTTTATGGCTTTTTAAAATAATAATTTTTTTTAGGTATTTTTATTAAATGTAATTATTGTTTGTAAATTTTTTTGTATATAGTATACAATTAGGGGATGAAAGTGAACATTTTTTTAGTATATAGAACACAATTAGGTGATGAAAGTTATTCTATATTTGATTAAAAAGTAATAAAAAAATATTTTATTAACTATAACAATTAGTTGTAAAATAAAACTAATAAATAAATAAATATAATATGTATAAATAAATAGTTAATATAACTATTAATAAATTTTTTGTTTGTTTGTTTGAGTCATGCTTTTTTGATTTAAATGTGAAAATTTTTGTAGGAAATGTTAAACAAATCTCGTAAAACGCATACTGGAATTCAACTTGAAGTTAATGAAAGGTGAATTAAGTTTTCAATGCTTTTTTTTTTGTTTGTTTAAACAATTTGTATTTTTTCTTAGTTTCTCTTAAAAGTTTTTAAATTCAAGTCTTCAATTGCTTTTTTTAGAATTTTGGATTCGTGCACAGGTCTTATGAGGGTAAATTTTAAATAAAAACTTTCAATTATGTTTCCTATCCATAAAAGACAAGATGAGTAAAGCCGAAAGTAATTTTTTTTTAATTAATGTAGGCTATTCGTGAGTTGATTTTGAAATCAAAAGATTTGCAGGAAGAAATTGTTATGCAGGGAAGGGTGAGTACCAGCCTTTTATTTTTAGACTTATTTTGAAAAAAGTATATTTTTTAGTTTCTTTTGTGTTTTGTTAGGGTTCAGCCTCAGTAAAAGAGTTTTACAAACGTCATCATAAATGGGCTGAGGGCTTGTTATCTGCAGCTAAATCTGTAGGCTATGGTGCAACAATACTTGTGTAATTTTTTATTTTATTTTTTTAAAAAACTTATTTGTAACTTTTTTTTGTCATATTTTTGAATATTTTTCTTTAATATGAAATAATCATCTAAATAATTTATATGGTTAATATTAGAGATGTGCTGGGTACCCAGTTTGGACCCGGGGACCCAATAATTCAGCTGTTTTACCGGGTACCCAGAATTGGCCATTATGTTGTAGTAACCTGTTTTACCGGGTACCCAGCATCGGCTATTTTTAAAAAAGTTTTTAATGCAAATTAACCATAAGTGCTTTAAGTAGTACTTTAAATTGTGTTGAAATATTTTTAACAGGATTGTGTCAAAATATTGTTAACAGGATTGTGTCGAAATATTGTTAACAGGATTGTCAAAATATTGTTAACAGGATTGTGTCAAAATATTGTTAACAGGATTGTGTTGATATATTGTTAACAGGATTGTTTTTAAATATTGTTAACAGGAATGCTTCTAGTTTAAACTTCAACCAACTTCTTGTTATAAGTATATGAGTGTTATGGAGTTAATAACCACAAAGCCCTATTTACTCAATATACAGTCGTGTGCAGTAAAATAGTAGTGCGTATTTTATTTTTCTATCAACAAACTTTGAATATTAAATTATATTTTTCTATTGTTTTTTTTTTATCACTATTGCTCATAAACTAAATATTATGATTATAATAGTATAAAAAAAAATTAAGAAAGATAATTGCAGCACTGTATGGTTTTGAATTTCAATATTATCAATTGAAGGTCATTCGTATTTTTTTTTAGACTGTGCAATAAAATAGTAGTGAAAAATTAATTTTTGTGTAATAATTACTTTACTTATTAAATTCTAATTATTATTAGTTCTTAATAATAAGCAATAAGTAATTAATTAATTTTGATATTAGATAAATTTATACACTTACTAAAATTTTGAAATTTTAGAGAAACATGGGGCACTCTAAGCATTGTACTGAGTAAGTTCGTAATTTAATTATAAATCTAAAAATCATGGTAAAACCTACAAACAAATACAAGAACTGGTTGGATGCTCACCAATAATGATTTGTAATGCTTTAAATTGGAAACCCAAACTAGAAAAACGTGGAAATGAAAGATCAACTACCGCTATAGAAGATCGTCGAATTGTATCGTTAGCATAATAGGAGCCATTTATTACTTCTAGAAAAATTAAAGAAAGGCTAGAATTAAATGATAATACCTCAGCTATTCCAAGTCGATTAATGCATGCTGATTTCAATGCAAGAACAAGAAAAGAAAAGTGTCACTTTTGAGTAAAAGACATATCGAAAATCGTTTAAAATTTGCACGCATGAATGCTTCTTGGCCTATAGAAAAATGGCAAAATGTTTTGTGGACTGATGAAAGCAAAATTGAAATTTTTTGTTCCCATGTTGGTAAACAGTATGTTAGAAGACCAACGGGTGCAGCATATAAGCCACAGTTTACATTAAAGATCGTCAAACATGGAGGTTCAAAAATAATGATATGGGGTTGTTTTTCTTACTATGGTGTTGGGCCTATACATCACATAGAAGGTATCATGGATCGGTTTGTATATGTAAAAATACTTGAAGAGATCATGCTGTCTAATGCTGAAGAAGAAATGCCGTTAAAATTTTTGTTCCAGAAGGATAATGATCCCAAACATACAAGCAAGTTAGCCAAATCGTGGTTTAATGAGAACAAAATTGATGTGATGGAGTGGCCAGCACAATCCCCCAACCTCGATCCAATTAAAAACTTGTGGGTTGATGTTAAACAAGCAGTTTCTGAAAATAATCCAAGAGGTTGTAATCAATTGTGGGACGGCAAAGTATATCTGTCTAACGATGTCAGAATTTTGTTAATTCCATGCAACGAAGATGCTTGGCGGTTATTACAAATAAAGGTCATGCCACAAAATACTAATGTAGAGCTTAAAAAAAAAAAATTTTTTGTAAAAAAATTTAATTATTTTTTGAACTTTTTATAAAAAATGATTTTCACTACTATTTTATTGCACAGTCTAAAAAAAAATACGAATGACCTTCAAGCGATAATATTGAAATTTAAAACCATACAGTGCTGCAATTATCTTTCTTACATTTTTTTTTATACTATTATAATCACAACATTTAGTTTATGAACAATAACGATAAAAAACAAACAATAGAAAAATATATTTTGCTGTTCAAAGTTTGTTGATAGAAAAATAAAATACGCACTACTATTTTACTGCACACGACTGTAGATGTTTCTCATTAAAATATTTTTTTAAATGCTTTTACAAAACAATCAGAATATATTACAAAAAGGAAACTGATTTATATGGATATTAGAATATAGCTTCTTTTTATTATGTGGGAGAATTTTTTTACTAGAGAAATTTTCGAAGTTGATAGAGTTAATTTTAATTTTAAAGCTCTTGATGTTTTTGGCATTAACGACGTCAGATAGCAAATTATTTCAAATGTTAACAAACCTGAGGGGGAAAGAATATTTATGGATATCAAGTTTACACTTTAATTTGCGTAATTTGAATTTGTGACTTCAAGTGTTAATAGAGCTGTTTATTAGAAAGAAAATATATTTAGGAAAACTTAATTAGCACAAAATAACTTGCAATATTTTGTTATAACAATTCAGCGGTAGAGATTTCACAAGCTAATGATAAAAATACATTTATGAAAATATGCTTTTATGTAGTGATGCAGCTGACAAAGTTATAGAAGGCAAAGGAAAGTTTGAAGAACTTATTGTTGCTTCACATGAAATTGCTGCATCAACTGCACAATTGGTAAGTTTTTGTCATTGTATGGTAAACTAACCAAGATAAATATTATAGCAATTTATATAAATTATTGAAAAGTTGTGTTTTATTTATTTTCAATTTAAAAAATTAAAAATGTAAAGGTTATTTTTTCGTTTAACTTGATTAGTGTTTATGATTTAAAAAAAGACAATAGCTGTGTCAATAAGATATATGTTTATGTGTCAATAGCTGTGTCAATAAGATATATGTTTATGTCAATAAGATATGTGTTTATGATTTAAAAAAAGACAATAGCTGTGTCAATAAGATATAAAAAAATAAACAATTGAAAGTTTTAAAAATAACATGACTTGTGATCTTGATCTCAAAGTTTAATTTAAGTCATTTTTTTTTTATAAAAATTTTTTTATGCAATTAGCTTTCTATTTTATACTCATCATCACATAGCAACAGGGTTCAGGGTGGTCAGGGTGATTTTTGTGTGATCTATAGTGTGTACACAAAATAAGGGTGAAAGTAGAAAAACAATTAAAAAAAGGTACTCATTGACTTTTATTGGGAACTAAGTATTAATTTTAATACATTAATATAAGAAGATAAAATATTTCGAGAAGTTAATTTGTTCTAATAAAATTTTGAACTTTTGTTCTGTTGGTAAACAAAACACATATGCAAAACAACAATCACATAGACAACAAGAATATTAAACATTTTAAAGACATAAGAAGATAAAATATTTCAAAGAAGTTAATTTATTCCTTTGGGTATCTAATAAAATTTCTAACTTATGTTTTGGTGGTAGGCAAGACACATTGGCAAAACAACAATTAAAACTATTTGATGTTTTTTAAATGAGATTTTCAAATATTCTGCATAGTCTTTTTTATAGTCATAGTCATAGTTTTTTTTCGCCTCGTCTAATAATTACCCAGTACTTTGCAATAATTTTTAATACAGTTTAGAGGATTTGCTATTTTAGGCAAATTTTAGGTCATTTTTTTTATACGATCTCGTAGTCATCCATTTATACCATCTCATAGCCAGCTTACCATTTATACCATCTATATTATCTTGTAGTCATCATTTATACTGTTTGACTTAATGATAAATCAGGCCAGAACGTCTACTATCAATGTGATTTAGTAGGAAGTAAAAAACGTTTTTTTGTTAACACGCTTTACATATATTTTACCAAAAAATGTGGACTCAGAAATATAGGGTGCTGATTTTTTGTCTTATCTGCAAATAGCTTGCCAAATCAAAGTTTTTTTAGCAAAACTCATTTTTTGTGTACTAAAATTTTCCTACCTGCTTTTCCTCTATATTTGGAATTATAATAGACAGCACCAGTACTTTGCTGATGATAAAACTTTGTATAAGTTTTATCATCAATGGTTCAGAAATTTTTATAAATATAGTTGTCATACAACTTTCTTCAGTGGATTTTTCCTTTTTTTTTTTTGAATTTTAGAACAGTTAGGCACTTTTTGTGATTTGAAAGCTTGAAAAACATGTTTACATCTTTTTACAACTTTATCAAACTTTTACAACCAAACAAAGAGAAAATTCTCATGTTTTTGTGCATTACCTTAGTGAGAGGTTTTGATTATTAATAAAACTGTGAAACAATTTTCTAAAAAGTTCCATATTATAAAAAACCTTATTTTTTCCATTTTTGCATTTGATTGATTTTGTTTAGCAAAATTATTAAACAACATGACTAATGATGTAGAAATTTTTTTGCTACTGAATTGTAGCTAAATTCAGATTTTTCATAAAATTTTTGCAAAATATTATTTTTAACGTCGTCTTCTTTTGTCGTTTTTAAAACTTATTTTAAGTTAAATAGAAAAACTAAAATATTTGTTTTTAATCATTACAAGTTGCCAACAAACACAAAGAAATCATTACAAGTTGCCAACAAACACAAAGAAATCATTACAAGTTGCTAACAAAATACAAACACAAAGAAATAAATACAAGTTGCCAACAAAATACAAACACAAAGAAATCATTACAAGTTGCCAACAAACACAAAGAAATCATAACAAGTTGCTAACAAAATACAAACACAAAGAAATAAATACAAGTTGCCAACAAAATACAAACACAAAGAAATCATTACAAGTTGCCAACAAACACAAAGAAATCATTACAAGTTGCTAACAAAATACAAGCACAAAGAAATAAATACAAGTTGCCAACAAAATACAAACACAAAGAAATCATTACAAGTTGCCAACAAACACAAAGAAATCATTACAAGTTGCTAACAAAATACAAACACAAAGAAATAAATACAAGTTGCCAACAAAATACAAACACAAAGAAATCATTACAAGTTGCCAACAAACACAAAGAAATCATTACAAGTTGCTAACAAAATACAAACACAAAGAAATAAATACAAGTTGCCAACAAAATACAAACACAAAGAAATCATTACAAGTTGCCAACAAACACAAAGAAATCATTACAAGTTGCTAACAAAATACAAGCACAAAGAAATAAATACAAGTTGCCAACAAAATACAAACACAAAGAAATCATTACAAGTTGCTAACAAAATACAAACACAAAGAAATCATTACAAGTTGCCAACAAAATACAAACACAAAGAAATCATTACAAGTTGCCAACAAAATACAAACAAAATGAAATCATTATATGTTGTCAACAAAATACAAACAAAATGAAATCATTATATGTGGTCAACAAAATATAAACACAATGAAAAATATGGTAATACAACCACTTAAAAAAAATTATGTATTTAATCTTTAACATTTATTTTGTGTACTTTAATAGATGTGTTTGCTAAAATGTCACAATACTCAGACTGGTTGTATATTATAAAAAAGTGATAAGGCCAGATAAATAGCAAGCCATGAGTGTTTTATTTTTTTAGGCCTTGTCAATTAAATAAATAAAAAAACATGAATATTTTTAATTATATAAGCGTATATCTAATTATAATCATGTATAATATTGTAGACATTTTCTGCATGCAAATCTGTATGTGATGTACTATAAGTAATAAAATATGGCATCAGTGCCGCGGATAAAAAAAAATGCATGTCAATAAAATAAATATAGTTAAGGAAAATAAATATTTTTTTATTCAATGCCATAAAATTACTCCAAAACATGTTTTATATTTCAAGCACAAAAATATGTGTTGAAAAGTGTTATCTTTACTTTTTTCTTTTCCTGACTGATTTTCCAGTACTGAATTAATGCTTAAATTTGGGCTAAATTAATGCTAATAATTTTTCTGAAAGTAAATATTACAACTATTTTACTATTTTTATATTTATTTCTTTTCATATGTTTCAAGTTATTATTTATTTTAAGGTTGCTGCATCACGTGTCAAAGCTTCGAAAAATAGTCAAAAACTTCCTCCTTTAATGACAGCTTCTAAAAACGGTTGTTTAAATTTTTTTTATGATTTATCTGTTTTATATATATATATATATATATATATATATATATATATATATATATATATATATATATATATATATATATATATATATATATATATATATATATATATATATATACTTTTTTTTTTAATGTAAATTGTCAAAAAAGATCACCCCTCAAGCTGAAAATAATTTTTCCTATCTTTTTAGTGAGTTATAAATTACTTAATAGAGACACAACACAATATTACTCAATATACGACTGTGATTACAAACATCATATATTCTACAGATTTCTTTACGAGATAACTGCAATTTTTAATAACTGCAATTTTCGATTTCAACCCTGTTGGACCGTGTGGAAGTGCTTCAGCATTTTATAATTGGTTTTTTGTATGTAACTGGAATTGTCTTCTTTAAGTTGTTCAAACTGTTATCTTGTGTTTTTAACATTATGTCCAAAATAGTGTTGCTTCAAACAAGAATAAGAAAGTTTGTGAATCAAATTTAGTAAGGTTTGAAAAAGTTAAAACTTCCAGAAGATATACTACTGTTGTTAAAAGTATTAGTGAAATGAATAAGTTGCCAACAGAACAGCGTATCATTGATCAATTTAAAAGTTTGTCATCAAATTTGAAAAGTAGAAAGGAGAGAATTACAATTGTGGCTAAAGAAACTAAATTGCTATGGAGAGAGCTAAATATTCCTATTCAACAAGGGAAATCGGCAGCAGAAAGAAAAATAGAAAATGTATTGAAAAAACTTGACAAAGATAGTCGAAAACCCGGAACTCAAAATTTTACACGATTGTTTGACATAACCGATGAGAAAAGTGAATGGTTGTGTCAGGAAGATAAAGAATTTTATTTTTCTTCAAAAGTCAACAAATGGAAGAGCTGGATATTGTACCACAATTAAAGATGCTGAAGGTATTCATCTAAGAAAGTTAGTGATGATAAAGAAACAAATGTCCATCAGTCAAGGACAAGATTTTGTTGAATCAACTAGTGAAGGAGATCCTTCAGAAAGCGAAGAGCAGTGTTCCAGCAGTGATATTGAAGCTGAAGGTCCGTCATCATCATTTAAAAAACAAAAAACTAATTCAGCAGTAAATTTAGTGATTTCTGCAAAGATTAGTACCAAAAAAGCACATAAAGTATGTAAAACTCTCTCAGAAAGTGGTATTTCTATTTATACTCCAACGCAAAGTGGTATCTACAAAGGTGTTATGAAAGAAGGGGAAAAGTTGAAAGTAAATTATATGGAAAACCTAAAAAATGAAAAGTGGTCTTTGTACTTTGATGGAAAACACATAAAGAAAATGGAATATCAGGTAGTTGTTTTGAAAAAAGAAAAGAGAGAGGTTCGGCTTGCTGTTCTGGAGCTGATGAATGGAAAAAGTGAAACAATATATAATGGGATAAAGCATGTGCTAGATGAATATAAGCTGTGCCCAGCCATAAAAATGATCGTACCTGACACAACATCTACAAATGCAGGATTAAGAAATGGTGTAGTTACACGGTTACAGAAACATTTTAAAACCATTGGACTAGAAAAGCCTGTTTTTATTGGATGCCAACACCATGTTCTAGATACTCTTTTAAAACATGTCATGAATGATCATTTTGAAGGATCAACAATGTCACCATATCTCCATTACCCTTTTGTGACAAGGTTGCAGCAAGATTACGAGAACTTGAAGTTATCATTTTGTAATATTGGAAATTCTTTGACGAAAGTGAAGCGAACTCGCTGGAGAGATGACATGGATTTCACTTAATAGCATGTTATAGAAAGTTTAAAAGCACAGGTAACTTTCCAAAAGTTAATTTCAAATCACTTCCTGCTATAAGCAATGCAAGATGGAATTCGAGAGCCATTTTTATTCTACTTGCTTACATTTTAATACCAGAATACCAAGAATCAGAATCTACTCAAGCAGCATGTGACTTCATCTGTGGTTCATGGGGTGATATATGGTTTGGGGGTCACTATTTCAATCCTGCAGATTTTGTTAATTTATTAGAAGCATGCAATGAGCATCCCAAAGCATTGAAATCATTGAAAAGGTTTTGGTCCACTGAGCTAACACCAATACCAACACAACGGTCAAATATATGTGCAGAACGTGCTGTGAAAGTGATGCAAGACTTAATGCCATTATGCCATAGCATAGAAAAACTAATTATTAAATTCTTATTGTCAAATACACAGTAGACAAATTTTAATTATACATGTTTTTTGGTTTCTGTAAAGTAGTGGAAGACGTGTTGCAAAACTATATTTTTTTAATTTTTTATAAATATTTTTTAATTGGGGGGTGAACTTTTTTGACATATAGTAAAAATACTTGTTATTTTTTGATTTTTAAACAAAAACTCCACTAAATTTAGTATGGGGATATAGGGTTGCAAAATTGTCATATGCCTTGACAATTGGTTTATAGCACATCTTTATATGATTTCAAGCACAAGCAAAGCCAATTTTAATTTTAAATATTTTAATACTTAGCAATAGAAAATGTCTTTTTTATACTCATTTGAACACAATTAAAGACAATAATTTATTATGCAAAATGGCAACAAGGTTTCAATTGTTCATTCTAAAATATGATAAATAACTTCTAAAATCTAAATGTCCACAAGATTGTCACCATTGCGTTTGGAAAAGTCTTGTCTGTGTTTTTCAACAACCTGAAGTAGAAATTGTTTCTGTTCTTCTTTCTTTGTTATTGCTGCATTAAAATTTTGGATGAGAGCAATGCCCTGCTCAGCACAATCATTAACACATGGCAAGTTATTGACAAGTTGACGTGCCATTTGATAGGAATGGTTTTTGTGCCACTCTTCCACTGGAATATCGAGAAAAGAAAGCTATCATCAATGGCAGTAACTAGGAAGAAACTTCGAGAAATGAGTAATTCCGCTGTTTTTTTTTGAAGAGACTTAAGCAAATGCTATCCCCGATCACTTTTCATTGTCGACACAAGCTGGGTTTTTTCTTTAGAAGACATATGCTGAGAGAACAAGGAAACTGTTGCTAGCTTTTGGCTGAGGTACCAGGAGTGACACTTCATCATCTTCAAACCTTTTGTCTGAAAAGAAGCATCTTCATACATAAGCAGCCTTTGAATCAATAGAATGTCATTCAATGGTGCATCAGCAATGACTCGACTTGAAAACCAACATTGAATGTTGACAACATTGACAACAAATCTATTAAATCTCTGAATGCCCTGTAATTCACGAGCAGTCAACTGTATAACAGCTTCATTACTATCAAAAAGCAATTCTATCTTCATTGCATAAATTGCCTTGAACGGCACCAGGCTTGCGAACTGGTGCTGCCCCAGTGCATTTTAAACCAATCATATAAGCCTCGAGTTGGAGAAATTCTTGATAGTCATTTCGTGGAGTTGAAGCTGCTCAGCAATTAACTCCTTCAGATTGTCACTTGCACTCACCAATGGCATTGGTCATGGCATAGGCTGACGGTGGACCAACTCTGACCATTTCTTTCTGAATCTTTTAAAAATCAAAATATCCAGTCCAGTTGACCGATCTAGACACACTCCATATGCATCAGACAACAACACCTTAGACATGCCATCCATAGCAGATTGCGACCGAGAGCCTTCTCCAGAAGAGTGCAGACTCCACTCAGTCTGCCGGTATTTGAGGCTGTTGTATCAAAGCACATTCCAATGTTGATCGCACTGCCATGATTTGAGTTGGTCAAGAACTGCCTCCTATCCCATTTGTCCTGTTCCAGAAGTCAACTTTGGTACTCCCAACAGTTTAATATTTCCATCAACAAGTGAAGAAACAAGAACTGCCAATCTATCAACTTGGTCGGTGTCTACTCCAGTGATGTCAGGTAGTAGTTTGCCATCCCAATGAATGACGGACTTACTAGGTAGAAAGTCATCCTTGATCTTCTGTGCAGCTTCACAATGAAAAAGCTGTTATTATGTCACATGGATAGCCAATAAACCAGATCATGTCGGTACTTCGAGTTGTGTTAGGTTTACACTTTGCCATTGCTCCAGTCTTTATTCTACAATAAAAGTAAAAAACTTGTAAAAAGTTAATATATATTAAGATATCTAAAAAATCTGTTTTTAATAATTTTTAATCTACACTTGTCACTTGTAGAATATAATCTTTACTAGTATTTTGTTTTACATGTATAGCTATTTGAACAGTACCAAATTAGTTTTAATTGGATAAAAGGCGGGGTGGATTTTAGAAAAAAAGTTACTTTGGTCAATTTTTCCCCCATTTATACAAAAATTCTAGACCCTTGGGGGACCCCTAAATATTTTTCAATTGTCATAAAAAAATTTAGTTGTTGTTGTGGGACTATTAAGAAACTTTTAAGAGGGACTGCATCAAAATTATCCACAAAAAATTTTATCAGTGATAAACATAAGACACCCTAATATATATATATATATATATATATATATATATATATATATATATATATATATATATATATATATATATATATATATATATATATATATATATATATATATATATATATATATATATATATATATATATATATATATATATATGTATATATATATATATATATTTATATTTATATATATATATATATATATATATATATATATATATATATATATATATATATATATATATATATATGTATATATATATGTATGTATATATATATATATATATATGTATATATGTATATATGATATATATATATATATATATATATATATATATATATATATGTATATATATATATATATGTATGTATATATATATATATATATGTATATATATATATGTATATATATATATATATATATATATATGTATATATATATATATATATATATGTATATGTATATATATATATATGTATATATATATATATATATATATATATATATATATATATATATATATATATATATATATATATATATATACAGTAGCCAAAAAATTGCAGGCAGGCTTAATAAAATTTAATTTTACTAATATTTCAGCACTTACTTCACTAAATCCAACATTTTATTTGCCAAATAAAAGATTTTTAGATTTATTTTTATGTTTTGGAAGTATATTGATAATTTAATTAGAATTCTTATAGTAATTTAAAAAATTAATGGTCTTTAATGAGTACAAAAATTTGCAGACTTTCACATTTCCCCTTAAAAATTGCTAATATTTTGATATTGTAAACAAATAGTTTGTAGAAATAATTAAAAAGTTTCATTTATAAGTGATTGAGGTCATGGGGTATAAGCAATGTTTAAATGGATATTCTTAAGACAGTTCAAATGGAAATTTTATTAAGACAGCACAGTTTTAGACAGCCTGCTGATAGACAAATTATAAAGTGGTATGAACTTACTGGATCTACAAAGATTTGAAAGCAATTAGGAAGACCACTTAAAAAAACATATCGTCAAGATAAAAAGCTTGTGATACTAAGCAATGATAAGCTATTGATTGAATAAACAAATAATATAATTTTTTGGAATGAATTGTAGTATTACTTCAATAAAACGTTGTTTACATCATGCAAATGTGTTTGGAAGACATCCATTGTAAAAGCCATTGATTTCCTTTAAAAATTTAAAGGCCTGAGAAGAACATCACAGCATTTAACATTACAACATCTAAAGTGGAGTATTCAACATTGGTCAAAAGTTCTTATAGTAATGAAAACAAGTTTATGCAGTTCAGATCAAATGAAATCAAGTTTGTTTGTTATCCAGTAGGTACAGAATATGATCCTAAATCCCAACTGCTTACAATAAATAAGAGGAGGTAATGCAGAGGAGGTTTTGGGAATGTTTTAGTCTTGACAGTGTTGATCCGCTCCATAGATAGACTAGAACTTATGATCAAGAAATATACAAAGACATATGTAATAGCACTGTGTTACCTCATGCATCGGATAAAAAGCTTCGCAGATGGATAACCATCAGGAAAATAAATTCAAATACACAGGCAACTTGGTTCAAAGGTTCTTCAAAAAGAGTAAAGTTATTGTTGTGATGATGATATCCCAATCAACTGGCTTCGTCAAGGTTAGATGACTTTGGTTATTTATAGGAACTTGTTGATCATCAAATATTAAGCAGTAAGCGTACAAATTTTTTCCAGATCAATTACAAATTGATTCAGAAATATTAAAAAAACATTGCGCTCGATTTCTGTTTGCATTAACTTAGTAGACTTTATGTCTTGTAGATGCGAAGTTGTTCTTAACTGTAAAGATAGTACTACAAAATAGTAATATGATTTTTAATAAAATTTTGATTAAATATTTTTAAAAATTTTTTTACTTATTTAAATATAAACTTTTTTTCTGCAAATTTTTTAAATTCATCATAAATGGTTATTTTTTTAATCAATTTAAATTCTTTGATTAAATTATCAATATTTGTTCATATATTGTCAGCCAAGAACCAAGAGACTGTATGTCCACATTTTGTGTTTTTTTTTTTTTTTTTTTGTTTATTATCAATTAATATTTAACATTTAATTATGGGTATGTCCAATAAATCTAGTCACAAGAATAATGCAACTTTCAAAAATATTTTCTCAAAAACACAAAAAATGGACATGGTTGGTTATACACGATATATATAAGGCTTATTATTTTTATAATTTTTTTTTTAACAGTTTCTTAACTTTACAAATTAGCACACACAAATTTATTTGGAAAATAAATGTTTTGCTATTGTTCTTTATATGCTAATTACAACCATATAAAGAATGCTATCAAAATATTTAAAATGTTGAATATTGATGTTATTTTAAATTTCAAAATTCATAAAGTATACAAAAGTATATAAACTATTTTGTTAAACATTTTAGTTGGTGAAGCCACAGCTGGTGTTGTTGCCGCTGTAAAAAGTGGGGCATCAATGACAGAAGAACTAAGTGAGATATTTTGCATTCTAGTATGAAAATAAAATTGTTCAAATTATCTTCACTGTTATTTAAATAAAACTCTTTTTTACTATCAGAAGCTGTTCCAGATTATTCAAAAATGACTTTAACACAAGCTAAAAGATACGAGATGAACAGCCAGGTGAAATATTTTTTTAGTGATTATTTAAATGATAAATGAAACAAATTAATGAAATTTTTGAAGTAGCATTAAAACCCATAATCCTGATTTGTAGTCTTTATATTGACACCTGAGGTTTTGATAATTGTTTAAATTTTTAGAAGTAAAAAAACATTTTTTAGAGAATATTTTTTACTTTATATTCTTTACTATTGGAGAAATTAACTCTGAAAGAAAATACTTTTGTTATATGCTGGTACTTTCGGTTAAGTATAGGCTGAAGATAAGATGTCTCAATAAAAATATTTATCTTGGTATAGATCATCTTAAGTATAGGCTAGAGATAGATGTCTCAATAAAAATATTCATTTTGGGCAGATGTAAACTGCATTTAGCTACTGTCTTAGAGAAAGGCTCCCTTGCAAAGACTTTAGGTATAAGTAGAAAAGTTTTAATGAGCAGTCTTACACCCCTTTCCATTCAACAGCTGTAAATTATTAGACTATTAACTGTGTCGTGTTGCTCATAGATAGGTCATAGTTAAAGCTTTTGTTGTGCATTTTTGGGGTTAAGAACCTTTTAGTATCAACTTTAAGTAAATAAGCTAGAATAAAGCTACTGCTTTATTCTTATAAGATTAAAACTTATTGCTTAGGGTACCAATTTTTGAATATGTTTTCAAAATTTGATTCAAAAATTGAATCAAAAAAAATATTTAAATCATGACTATAATATGAAAAAATGTTTAAAAATATCTATTATAAATATTTAGTATCTTACCTCTTACCATTTCACCCAGACTTTAATTTTTTGTTTAAGATATCTTAAACAAAAGAACACAGTAGTTGTTTAATGGTAGAGTGCTTCATATGTGAGAAGTTCTGAATTCAAAACCCACCATATCTTTGGTAATGCTGCACTCAACCTGTTTCTTTGTACAATGTACTTAATTTCTATGATTATATTTTGGAGTCAATTGGCTGAGAGGCTTTTGTACCAATATTTTAGAAAGGATAAGTAAACCAAATAAAATATCTGTATCCAAAGACTTCTATCATTACATGCTTGACCTTGACATTTTATGGATCAATTTAGCTATTTGTTGTAAGATCAGATTTCAATCTAGTGATTTGGAAAATCTTTAATAGTTTTACCGACAAAAACAAGTTTAATATATCTAAAAAGTCCATTTCGTGATTTTTATTGTATTACTTTATTACTTAGAGTACGGTAGTGCTGTGTAAGCAAGATTTACCGAGTTTGATCTCTACGACATGTGCTGAACTTTTTATTTCATGCAGTGGCCTGCACATACAATAAAAAAAAGAAGCTGATCTTGGATGTGATTTTTCTTTTGTTACTTCTCGGAGCTCTCAGTGGCTGGTGAATTTTAACCCAACAAAACTCAGTTATTTATGGCTTATAATTATCGCGATATTGTTGGTATTCTCATTTTGATGGTTGGGAACTATACTAATATATAAGTATAAATATAAAATAAGTATAGTACTTTAGGGCTTCTAGAATTATCTTAGACTACTGCTAAGCATATATGCAATAAGCTTGAGCCAAGCTTATTATGTTACATCATTTTAAGTTTGCACCTCGATGATTATTTTTCACAAAGACTACCATGGTTACTGCTCAAGTGAGTTCACATGCAGCTTTTTTAGAAGTAAATTTGTTAAAAAAGTAACTTTATTTACAAGGTTTTATATATATATATATATATATATATATATATATATATATATATATATATATATATATATATATATATATATATATATATATATATATATTCAATATAACTTGTTTCTCCGTGGTGGGAATCGAAGATCGAATGGAACTTCTCTCTTATGAGGCGCTTTACTGAGGCATAACACATTACATATAACACAAACATAATTATATGTAACATATTTTGATTGTAGTTAAAGTTATTTTTGATTAATATATATAATATATGTTAAAAATAAATATGTGAATTGTCTGTTATCCATTGATAGAATAATTCAACCTAAAATATTTTTTATCTAATATTTTGCTTGTAATGCTTAATCAATTAAAAAAAATAATTTAAATAACACAAAAAAGTTGTTAACGTTTATTTGTAACGTTTATAATTACATAAGTAAAATATAATCGACACAAATTATCTCAATTTAATCAGTATATTCTATGGTTTTATCGATACCCAATATCATCTGCTTTAGGTTCGGATTCATGAACTTGAAAATGAACTGCAGAAAGAGCGAGAAAATCTTGGTCAGTTACGTAAAGCTCATTATCAAATTGCCGTCGAACTTTACGGCGAAGAACAGGTTTTTTTTTTTTTTTTTTTTTTTTGTTTTTTTTTTGTTTTTTTTGCTGAATTTATGGCTAAATAATACTTTTGCTGATTTTTTATTAGGTGAATTTAAGTTAAAATTTCATTGGAGAATAATAGTGAGAAATATGTTGACGATGAAGCGGTAGGTAATGTCGAAATGCATAATAATCAAATGTAAAACTTTGAAAACGAAAGAGAACGGGATCATCGTAAATATCTATGTATAGATTTAACACTTTGTACGATATTTAACAAGTTAATATATTACCACATGTTATGATATATAAAATTGGTATATGCTCTTATTATAAATGATTGTTGACGATTTTTAAAGTCTTGAATATTTAGGCAATTTTAATTCTAAATTTTGTGTTTCCATCTTAAGTATTTTTTATATGTATTTATATACGTACTTTTGTGCAAAATTTGGTTTTACTGTTTAGGGGGTGCTTTTATTACAAAATTTAGGTTTGCAATAAACTTAATTTTAACTAATTTGTGACTATATTTTTTTTGTATTACAGAAAATTTTTTTTACTATATTGCAGAACATTTTTTAAATATTTGATATTTATGTAATAATTCGAACTCAAATTTGTGTTATTGCATTTAAGATCTTTTAAGTTACAGAGGGTGTGTTCTAACAAAATCAAATGCGGTTTCAAATTTCAATATGGTGTCTTAATTTAAAATTTTATTATTGTGTATTTTTAAATTTGAACATGAAAAAGTTAATTTTAAAACGAAACTACTATAATATGCTGCGTTTTCTAACGCAGGGAGAGACGCAGTAGAGTTTATTTACTTAATTAGCTCCATAAAAGGGGATTTTATAGAGAACGTACGCAGTGAAACTTCTGATTCCGAACCTTTTCTAAACATTAAATACCAAAAAAAACTCTGTTAAATAAAAATATTGATTTTTTAAACCCGTCAAGTTTTTGATCGGTTTAAAAAATGGTTTTGTTTTAAAAAAAAATAAAGTTTAAAGAGAGATAGACAAACCGCGTACGTACTCGTTGTCTTAACACACCACCACCTCTTCCCACCCTTGTCCCTTCAACTACACATGCGTACGTGTTTGGGTATTGTGCTTTAAATAACTGAAGTATACTTTATATATAAGTGTTTGTTGCAACAAACACTTACAAATAAGGTATACAAGCCTTCTGTTTTGAACATCTGTTAGAACATCTGTTTTGGAAAGATTATCTTACGCGTAAGATATAATGCGTATTTCTTTCCAAAGCAGATGTTCTAAAGATATAATACTGGTCTGACTTTAAATACCGGTTTTGTTATATTACGTTATTATATATATATATATATATATATATATATATATATATATATATATATATATATATTGCATTGTTTTTTTATATTCCATTGACTTGTTATATTACATTATTTTTAACCGACATAAACACGTCTTTTAGACGTTTTTCTTCGGATCTAAAATGTTAATACTTTTAGATAAATATAAGATATCTATTAGCAGTCATCTTTTAGACGGCTTGAGACAGTTATTTTTTGTCGTCTCAAATACAATTAGACGTCTTATAGTTATCTGAATTTAGATGTCTGAAGATGTTAACATTTTAGATTCTAAAAATACGTGTTTGTGCTGGCAGTGACAATTTAAAACTTGCATTCGCTGCAGTAAAAATCTATTGAAATGAGCTATTGTTATGCGGCTGATCACTTTAAAATCAATAAAACAACACTCCAGAAAAAAAACGGCCAAAGTAAATGAAAAGAAATCAAAAAATGAACACCCTAAAATTTTTTCACATTTGTCAGTTATCTTCATAAGATGTTCGAGTTTGGGCATCATTTGAATGTTTGTGATCTAAGAATTGTAATAAAATCTTATCTTTGACAGGAATGGCCGAACAGTGAAATGTTTCAAAAACAATATACCAGGTGAAGAGTGGTTAAAGTCATTTGTTAAAAGAAATAGAGAATTGACAGAGAGATTTGCAAGCATCATAAGAGCAAGAGCAGGGATTACAAGAGAAATTATCAACAGTTACTATGATAACAGTTACTATGATAACTTGATGTTTATGATAACTTGGAAAAGAAAATACAAGAAATGCCACATTAAAACTTATAAAACTTTGACGAGACTAACCTCACCGACGATCCTGGCAACAAACGAGTTATTATGAAGAAAGGTGTAAGGTATCCCGAAGGAATTTTTAATAACATTAAATCAACCATTTCCATAATTTACTATGATAATGCTTTAGCGACTTGATTTCGCCATATATCGGTTTTTGGACTACCTGGAATGAAGGTGGGTCTGAAGGTGCCTGTTACAATAGGTTGAAAAGTGGTTGGTTTGAAAGTTTAACTTTCGAACCGTTAATAAATGTATTTTCACCCTGTATAGGTGGCTTTCTTGGGTCATGATTTTTGGTTTGACAAAAATAAGTTATAGTGTTACAAATGTATCAAGAAAAATAAATTGACAAAAATAAATAATAGTGTTACAAATGTATCAAGAAAAATAAAATAAAAAAATTTTATAAACTGTAATGAATTTGAGTTCTAGATCAACAATTTTTAATTTATTTGAATAAAATTTTACATTCATTTAAATTACCATAAACAGAATTTTGTTTAATAAACTTTTTGGATGCGCATGTGCGTGTGTGTGTGTGTGTGTGTGTGTGTGTGTGTGTGTGTGTGTGTGTTCTCTAAGTCGACTTTGCGGTCTTATCACAGAGCAGTGTGGATGAGCATTTAACTAGGAAGTTCACGCCTCTTTTTTACCAAAATCGTTTATCTGGCCAGAGTCGGCATTGAGCCTCGGACCTCTAGGTTCTAAGCCAGAACTCTAACCAATTCTAAATTTTATGCTAAAATTAGTAGCTCTTTTTCTACTATTCCCTTGAGGAATATGTCTAAATGTCTTTGCAATGGTTAAAATAATTCCAGCACCGAGCAAAGTCCTTACTTAATAATAGTATTTAAGAACTATAAATTTCACAGGCCTGCAAGTTAAAACTAAAGTTAGGACTCCGTGATATACTGCAGTTATATGATATTAAATTATATAGCATAAGTTCTAAATAGGCATATTACATTTTAAACGAATTTTAAAAGATTTCTTGTATTTTACAGTAAGATTTTTAGTGTTTTCTCTTTAGACCATCTAATCGTTCATCTTGCAGACCATATTTTTTACAGAAATATCTTGATTGTTTAAATTAATAACCGATTGACGGCAATTTCTCGAAAAGCACCTTAACTACAATGAGTGAAAAAAAAAATATTCATGTCGCCGCCGAAAAGAATAATCTTAATTGAATAATGTTGAGAACAAGTAAACATCATTTTATAAAGAAAAATCTAGGTGTTTTTTAAAAAATCCAAGGGAGAGTCCGGGGCTAGTTGCAACGGGGGTAAGTTGTAACAATGCGGTTTAAAGAATGATTTTTATATATTTTTTCTAAAGTTTTATTAAGTTATATAAATATAACTTTAACACGTCAGCTGTAAAAACTTACAGTACTCAATTAAAAATTTAAAAAAGTTATAGATATTTATTTTCTTTATAAATATATCTTTTTAAAAGTTTTTTTGGATTTTACAGTAAACTTAGAGGTATATAATCATTATACAGTAATGGCAAGTTTAAAAATAATTTTCAAAAACAAAATTTATTTAATATAAATAATTATATACATTGATTAGAGTGATTATGATGCCTATGGGGTAAGTTGCACCCAATTGCTTCGGGTAACTTGCAATTTAGGCTAATTGCTTGGGGTAAACTGGATAAAATTGCTTGGGGTAAGTTAAATACATACATATATAAAATACATACATACATACATATATACATACATACATACATACATACATACATACATACATACATACATACATACATACATACATACATACATACATACATACATACATACATACATACTTACATACATACATACATACGTACGTACGTACATACATGCATAAATACATTAACACTACATATAAAAAAAATGATGATGAAGATTAAATTGTATAAAAGGAGTTTTGCAATATATTTTTTTTGTTTTATTATTATTTGATTAAATTGTCATTAAACTTATAAAAGAAAGACTAAAAAAGGACTTACTCCGCCAACAGTAGTAATAGAGGCAGCAAACCATGTTATTGATGGAAAAGAAACATCGATTCGAGCATCAACAAAAAAGTATGGAATTCACTACTTAATTCTATTTACAATGTTAATGAGACTGGTATCACCGCTGTGCAAAAACCAAACAAAATAATTGCTCGTAAAGGTATTGAGCAAGTTGAAACATGAACTTCTCAAGTTCAAGGGACACTAGTGACAATGGTCTTAATTGGAAGTGCATGTGGCAATAGTATGCCTCTAATGTTTCTTTTTCCAAAAAAGAAATTCTTTGATTACTTTATATATGATGGACGAAATGATTGCATTGGTGCTTCGAATGAGTCAGACTGGATAAATGAGGAGTGCCTTAATACTTGCTTGAATCACTTTATTCGACACTTAAGCCGACAAAAGAAAGCCCTGTGCTATTATTTTTAGACAAGCATAAGTCTCATTTATCTATTCAATTAATAACATTGTATAAATATAATGCTATAGTTTTGCTTTCCTTCATCCTCATTGCTCACATAAGTTGCAACCTCTTTAATCTCAGATGCAATTCCATTTCCGGTATCATTAGAATTTCCCCCAGAGAATGTAAGACCTCTACAAAAAAGCGCAACCTAGGAAAGAAATACTCACTAGACAAAGAGAAAGTATGCAAAAATTCTTACGGATACTCAAGTAAAACAGTGACTTATGGCTGAAAAAGAAATTAGCTCAAGAAAGAGAAAATCTCAACAAAAAAACATTAAAGTTGAATTGAAATGTAATAATGTATTTTTTTTACATTAATAAAATTGTTTTTTTTTAAATGTTATTGTATTTTTTATATCCTTAAAACAAAAAAAACAAAAAACTTAAAAACCAAAAACTACTCTTGCCTTTTTCTAAACTTAATTGTTGTTTATTTGACTAAGAATTTTTTTATCTAAAACAATTAGTTTACTAAACAAGTCAGGTATATGCGAAGCCTAGCATACTAAAAGTATCTCAGCTCAATGAAAATACTTTCTTTTATTGTAATTATAAAACTTTTGTTGCCAAATAGAAATTACAAGTTAACTAGTAATTTTCTTTGAACTCTGCTAAGCTTACACATTTAAAAGTATAAGCTAAGCTTATACTTTCAAATTATTGTGTTACAACTTACCCCGTTTACTGTTGCAGCTTCTGGCGCGGGATAAGTTGCAACATTTCTTTTTTTTTTCATTTTTGTTTCATAACTTTTTGCGGAATAAGTAAGTTTTATACTATATTTATCAATGCTGGATTAATACGTCACTAACTCTATTTTATAATACTGAAAAAAAAATTCAAAATTATTAAAGTTTAAGGAGTTAAATGCAGCTTTTTAAATTTTGTTGCAACAAGCTCTATTATAAAAAGAATCCAAGATCACCAGGGAACACCATAATTTAATGATAGTTATCACGTGCATGGTTAAATTATTTATAGTTATATATACTTGTTTACGATTTTCTAGATAACACAGTTGGAGAGTACCACTACATAATCTTTATGCTTTTGATTGATCTAAAAAATTATTAGCGCTAAGTTATAACTCGACGCTGATTTTTTTAAAAATTTTTTTAGATCAATAACGTTATTGTCATTAACGTTAATGACAAGCTAAAGATAATTTCTAACGATAAAGTTTGTAATTTGGTCACGAAGACAATTGGCTACCTCAAAAGTTAGAAACAAAATCACCCTATTAAATTTTTTAAAAATCGTAAATCCAAAGAATTTTAATAAAAATTCAAAGAATTTCAACAAATAAAAATTATCAGCCGAGTTAATGACAAACTAACGATAATTTTTAACGATAAAGATATTATATTTGGTCACGAGGACAATTATCTACCTCAAAAGTTACACCCTATTCAATTTTTTTAAAATTGATATATCTGAAACTCAAAGAATTGGTTAACTTACCATGGTGATTACCGTGGTGATTTAGCAAGTAATTTAGCTTGAGTTAAATCTTTTGATAATAATTATTTTCATTGAGTTCTGTAACCTGTCTATGGTTTTTTTTTCATTGAGTTCTGTAACCTGTCTATGGTTTTTTTTCATTGAGTTCTGTAACCTGTCTATGGTTTTTTTTCATTGAGTTCTGTAACCTGTCTATGGTTTTTTTCATTGAGTTCTGTAACCTGTCTATGGTTTTTTTTCATTGAGTTCTGTAACCTGTCTATGGTTTTTTTTCATTGAGTTTTGTAACCTGTCTATGGTTTTAGATAAAATAGGAATAGCTTGCTTCGAGAAAAAAAAAATCGGCAATAATTCTACTATCTATTTTAAAATGTCATTAAAGAAACATTATAAATGTATTTGTTAATGTTTACATTGACAAATGTCATTTTATAATGTTACATTGACATTGTTATTAAAATATTACGCAATGTTGTTAGTATCTAGTGTATACCATACAATGTCAATATACCATGTAATGTCAATATAACACACAATATACAACCTTCCTAGTATCAAGTGTATACTATTGCTATTATAAAAGTAATAATAAGAAATAATATATTAAAAAAAAATACTGAAAATTTTTTATTTTAAAATATATTAAAAATAAACTTTATTTAATAAAACATATTTAAAATATTTATTGCAATGTTTTAATTAAGACTTTATCAAAAATTATAAATAACTATTTTCATTAACAAATTGTCAACCATTTTGCTGGAATTCTAACCTTTTACATGTTGTTTACCTTGCATTTAAAAGTTCATTATTATGAGATTGTATAATTATACAGTGTCTTGTTCTATTATTTTTCTAAATCTTTAAAAAATTTTTTTTGCTAAAAAGTAATAGATTTTTGGTGATCATTTTTAAATAGCAAATTCGTTTTTAAACTTGTATGCATTTATATACCTTTTTTATGGTGGGTTTACAGGGTACTGTAAGGGCTGAAATGATGAAACTTGATTCCAATAAGGATTTACAGATGATTGAACTCCATCAGAAGGGTTTAGATATGTGTTTGTTTGAAAAGAAGCTGTAGAACAACCCTGGAAATAATCAGGAGGAGGTGAACTGGTAGAATAAGATCTTGGAACAGGTTGATCATTTTTGCACAAAGGTGTTCGTTCATTATTTAAAGAACCTGTTTTATTCTTGCATTTTTTTGGCATTGAAGAAACTACAGGATGTCTATTGAATGGAAGTTTTTTAGTTGTATAACATTGAACAAAAAATCCAATAATAAATAAACAAAACCAAATCACCACTAGAATTAACTCATTCTTTTGAAATGGAGGGTTTAAGAAATTAATAGATATCTTATAGTCTATTAGCCGCAACATAACATTCTGAACAATAAAATGCAAACTTGATTGAAGAAAATAGTTTGCAAAAAGAATAACAAGATAAGATCCAATAATAGAAGAACATAAATAACAACTGGTTTTTGGGAAAAAAAGCATAACTAAGGTAATAAAAGTAACAATGGAAGCAAATGCAATACAAAAGTTATTAGTTTGCACCCAAAGATCCATGCCACCAAAGGGTGTATAAAACAAAATTGAAGTTACGATTAATGCCAAAATGATATTAACACATAACAAACTTATAAAAATACATTTTCTAAAGATATTTAAAAACAAAAACAAGGCACCACCTAATATTGACCATAATGATGAAATCACGAGTAAATCTTTAAAATCAATTTTTTCTACAATGTTTGCAATAAGAATAACACTGATAATCCAAAACAAAAGTGTTCCACAAGTAAAAAGAAAAAGATGAAAGTATTTAAATCCTGCAAAACATAGCACAACGCCAAAAATTGCAAGAATGACCAATAAAACAAGTCCATAAGTTGATTTGTATATGCAAGCGCTAAAATCTGATAATGTAAGTTTACAGCCAAATGTGACGGTTGGAATATATGCTGAGAACAAGCCACGGCTTTGATCTGAGACTATAACATTAAATACAATACCATATCCAAAAACTGTTTGAACATGTAAAGCTAACTTATGACCTCCAGTAATCTGTGTTAACCATGTGCCATGCTTTTTAATATCTAGAGGAGATGTCATTTTTGAAATAGCATTGTAAAATCCTTTTTTTGTGTAACCTTTTGATTCTAAATATAAATAATAAACATCATAGGTCAATGAATAGCTGTCAGGAAAATCAGAATCGTCACACTTCGGAGGATCTAAAGTATTCACATAAGATTTGCTTGCTCTTTCAAAAACTAATAATGTTTGTATTGAATCATAACTGATATGAATATTTGGATCTATATTTAGTGCGCAAGTTAAGCAACATCCCCCTGGTATAGGTGACAGAACTTTATAAGCTATGGCTATTAACCAAACTTCTATTAGCTCGATTTTATTTGAATCAATACCAATGTAAGTAGTCACCGAGGTATTGTCAACTATTTGAATAATGCCTGAATCAGAAGCATTGTTTTCATAGCCATATTTTGAATAAGGTAAAAACGAAGTTATTACCTTTTTGCAGAGTGTGTGAGCTTGAAAACTCATAAAGCTATAATTTGCTTTTGGCTGAATATGGGTATTTACTTCATTATAAGGTAATGATGAAGATAATAATACATGACGAGGAATGTTTAACTCGATTTGAATCCCATTCGTTTCAGAAACTAATTGGTTATAAACGTATTGGTTAATTATAACTTGTATTACAAAGAAAATAAAAAATAACATTCCAAAATTAGAACTCATTAATGTATTGGACTAATATTGTATCTGCTTTTTTTTTTTTTTTTGCTAATAGTTTGAAGTATTTTACCAATAATTGGTTAGAACAGCTATGATAGAAATCCGTTATCTGTAAAAACAACAAATACGTTACCAAAAAATGAGTCAGTGTAGTTGTACGTTGTTAATAAATACTGCGATAAAGATTTGTATTGCTGACAAAACTCAAATTATATTTACTAAACACTTTTTCTAAACAAATATTCTTTTACTTTTTTGAATTTCTATTAGTTTTACTCGGACATGCTGCTTATCACAAAAAGTCAAGTGACTTCAATAAAACGTAAATAAGACCATGTCATTGTCAATCATGCATTCGTCCCAACCCTAATAACATTTTTTTTAATGATAATATTATTTAATCCGCACGAGAGCAAATAAAAGTATTTCTCGACTATTTATGTATAGAAATAGGGATTTTATAAGTTTACTTGTCCATTTTTGTAGAAAAAGAATAGAAATAAAAATAAATCTATATTGGTTTTTACAACCCATATAAATGATTTTACAACTAACAATAGGTGTTAATAAAAAGAATTAAAATAGTGGCCAGATGACTTTAAACAGCGCACACGAAACTCGGCAAAATACAAAAATTTGAGATAACATATTTCTCGTCGGTCTACTTTCAAAATAAACTTTTCAACTCACAGGTGGTTTAAAAAAAACTTATCCGGCAAATATTTATGTAGTAGATTTGTTTTGGACCTATATACACATTTTGAGGGGTTCATTGGAGTTTAGCTTATCGGTTACTTAATGAACTATTATTTATGGCCAGCCAACAATTTTTCAACATCTAATATTAATAGTGGTTAGTCATCAGATAGCTTAATTTGCCACTAGTAATTAATTACATAACCGATGAACAAAACAACAGTGGATCGCCTAAAATGCCTATATAGGTCTAATGAAAATCTACTATGTAATATTTGCTGGGTAATTAGAATAGCAGAATATAATGGTTTTAACAACCGACAAATTAATTGTCGGTTGTTTTTACCATAATATTCTGCTATTACATGTTTGTTTTTTTTATAAGCATAACGTTTATAAGCATATGGAGGCTCAGATTTGGAAAAAAAATAAGCATACGTAAGCATATTCCTGAGCCTCGATAAACCATTTAAAAAATTCAAATTTTATTTATTTTATTATTTTAAATTTTATTTATTTTATTATTTAATTGATAACATTTGTATATAGTATATATTTTTTATTATACTGTACTAAAGTCGACTTTTTATTTTTCTTATAACCATTAACCTTTAGTAACGCGCATATTTTTAGAAAGTATTGAAATAACCATATTTTATTATAAATATGCTTAAGTTTAAGCATATTTTTGAGCCTCTTTTAACTTTTTGCTTAAGCATACCCGAGCCTGTTTCAAAAATTTTATATGCTTATAAAAAAACAACATGTAATTAATCTATAAAACCAAAAGATCAATAATTTTGTGTCTGGCATTAAAAAAAAAATTTGAAAAAAATTCGCGACTCGATTTTTTTGCATATATTACAACAACAACAAACCAGTGGCGGATTAAGACTTCTTGGGGCCCAGGGCTACTTTTGTTTTTAGAGGCCTTTTTATGGGCCAGAGCCTAAAAATGACTAAAAATAAAGTCCTCTAAAATTTATGGGGGCCCCTAAATTTGCGGGGCCCGGGGCTATAGCCCCCCCCCCTTGATCCGACACTGCAACAAACCATTTAATTCACTTTATTATTATTATTATTATTATTATTATTATTATTATTATTATTATTATTATTATTATCGTTATTATTATTATTATTATTATTATATATATATATATATATATATATATATATATATATATATATATATATATATATATATATATATATATATATATATATATATATATATATATATATATATATATGGCGCTATTCGACTTTCCCCCCCCCCCCCTGTTTTTATGATTGATTTTTATAGAGTACATTATACTGATTCTAAATCACATAAAAACATAGGTCTGAAAACTTGAGGAAAGTACTCTAATTTGATGTTAGAGTATAAAAATCCACATTAAAAACGCTAATATTCAACCATCTTTGTCATACTCGGTTATATATAAAATTCTTTTTCAATAACAACTTTAAAAAACTCTGGTTTCTATCGACGCTTTAATTTATAACGCATTTCTTATTGATTTCCTGCCCCAACCAAACCCTGACCCAAATCATGTACATTTAATTGCGCCAATCTCTATTTGTCAGTCGATGTATGTACATTTAATCGCACCAGTTCCTATTAGTCAGTCGATGCATATACATTTAATTGGGCCAATTCCTAATTGTCAGTCGATGCATGTATATCATAAAATATAAAAACAACAATAAAAACCGGGTTGTTAGTTAAAAAATTAATTACCTAAATTTTGAAATCAGTGTGAAAATGTTTTTAAAAAGATGGTTGAATATTAGCATTTTTAATGTTATATTAATTTTAATTTATATATATATATATATATATATATATATATATATATATATATATATATATATATATATATATATATATATATATATATATATATATATATATATATATATATATATATATATGTATATATATATATATATATATATATATATATATATATATATATATATATATATATATATATATATATATATATATATATATATATATATATATATATATATATATAATTGATAGTTTTAAATAAAGTTTTTTTTTACTGATGATATCCTTCTACTTTTGATTGTGGCAGAGAGCAGATGTGTTTTTGAAGCTTTTTAAAGGTTTAGATTTCCTATTTAAAAAAGTTTTAAATTTAGTCTTTAAAACTTTTTTAAATTTGAAAATCTAAATTAGCCTAAATAAGCTTTTGAAAACTCTTGAATTTGTATGTGTGTTTGTTTGTTTATTAGCAAAATGATTAGACCAGGCTTGTTATTTTTCATTATTGTCAGCATACAATTTACAACAACTACAAACTCAAGATTGGTAGGAGGCATAACAACACTTTCGGAAAATGAAATTTTGAAAGAAGATTTACCTGATGATTTGGTTGATGGTTTAAATAAAGTTATTGAAAAAATAAATCTTGATAAAAATGATAAATATCGGTAAGCTTATTTATTTAAAGCTTTTTTTCTAATTTTAAAATTAGTTTTTTTAACCAAACAGAGAAAAGAATTTTGTGGAAGTAACTTTTAAAATTTTATAGTTTTAAATGATGTACTTTCATTTTGAATGGAATCAAAACACTTTAAAAAATAAAGTTATCGAAAAAAATTTAAAAGACTTAATTAATGTTATCTTTCTACTTTTTTTTTTACTGATGATATCCTTCTACTTTTGATTGCAGCAGAGAACAGATGTGTTTCTGAAGCTTTTTAAATGTTTTGGTTAAAAAAGTTATAAAATTGATCTTTTTAAAATTAAATTTTTTTAAATTTAAAAATCTGTAAAAGTGTAAGCTCTTTAAAACTTTTTGATTTAATAAAGCAAAATAATAAGTAATAAAATTATTGCTACTTATTGTATTGCTGATTAGAAGCTAGAAAAACAAATAATTAAGCTTCTATATTTTTATGTAATAATTTTTCACTACAAATAAACCAAATTACTTTTATTATTGATGCTGTCTCTGTTAAAACTGCAAAAATAATTAAAAAAGATAAAAAATACTCTGGTCTGTTGATGAATCAAAAAATGAAACAAAATTTTTGATGTACTTAAATTTGTTAAATTTGTTAAAGTTTCAATTAGGTTGTAAAAAATTTATTTTGTTTTTTACTCCATTCTTTGCTCAAAAAATAACTATTTCTTTTAAATTTAACATACTTGTTAACTTCAAGTGTTCATCCACTAGTTGTGTAGTGGTAGAGCCCTCACCCTTTACCCCGCTCAACTTGCTTCTCTGCGCATCAGCCTTTTCTTATTTTATACCTTTCCCAAAATGACATAATCAGTTGAATAGTCCACAAAAAAGTTATTAAAATTGTTATTATAACTTGTAAACTAAACGCATATTTAAATCAAATTGTCTTTATGTGTTTTTTTTTAATTGAAATGACAAATTGTAGCTACTCAAAAAGTATTACGAATTTTATTCTGACACATTTAATAGACTTCAATTGGTACACTTATAAAACTTTTAAAACTATAGTTTTATGCAAATATGGTTTGTATTTGTACTGATAAAATAGTTATTTTATTAGTACAAATATATAGTATTTTATCAGTAAAACCATATTTGTTAGTTTAAACAATAACATTAGGAAAACATGTTAGAAAAATGCTTTCTTTTTAGGATTTCTGAACACTGTTTAACAGTAACAGTAAAACACCTGATTTTTTTAAAAAACAAAAACAACAGTTGTTTTTAAATGACTTTTTTTACTATTTTTTTTAATTGAAATAAGCGACAAAAATTAAAAACTTTTTTTATGTAATCGCATAATGATTAAATTCTATTCCAATATTATATTGATTTTTAACTGCATAAAGTTTCATCCAAGCCTGAAAATTTTTGAATTTTTTTATTTGAAAACTTTCAGATAAAAGTTTAATTATTTATATTTTAAAAATTAACAATTGCTAAGAGAAAAGTTTTTTTACTAACAATATAACAACACGTTTATTAAAGCAATTTGAATGGTAATTTAATTTGATTTATTTTTCAATAAAAATTTAATAAATAATTTAAAATATAGGATTTCAGTTCAGTAGTTATCATTTTTTTTAAAAAAAACTAAGCTCACAGGCAAGTACTAAGGAGTTTCCTATTTTAATAGTTCTTTTTTACTAATCTAGTACTAAAGGTTTTTTAAAGGTTTCTTAAGAGTTATAAATAGGGCTTCTAGCACAAGTTTCTTATTTACATTGACTTGAATGCATAGTTGCTAGTTATAAATTAGTTTTTAACGGTGGGTAAAATGGCTACTTAATATCCTTAATTTCTATTCATATTATTAGCAATGTCAGTCTGGATATACGCAACAAAACAGAAAAGTCACTTAAAAAGTCATAGACTTTATTTAGATAAGGCAACAGAATTAATCATACTAACAGATGAGAGAGCAAGCGATAAGAGACAAAAAACTGTTGGCGACTTCTTTGAGCAAAAGAAGCTTCAAAATATTGTTTCTGATTGGCTAAGGATGGTATTTCAGTTTGAGCTATAACCAGAAATAAATACATTTGCCAGTCAATAGCTCGTGATGAATTTAAACTCATGATAAAACTGACAATATCACATATAAAACAGGATTAGTTCGAATTTTGGGTTCATGCAGTGTATTTTATATGGTTAAAATAATGAAACAACATCAAAATAGGTTTATAATATTGATGGAGCATCTGTAAACAAGAAGTATATTCAAAATTTAGATGGTATTGGTCAATTTTGTCTTAATTATGCTATACATCTTTGAGTATGTGACACACTTTATACAAAAAAACATAGTGTTGAAGATTTAAGCGACCTCTGTGATGACGATAACAATGAATATGATTCTTTTGACAAAGGCACCAATTTTGAATTTATAAATAATGATTGCAAAAATTGTATCGACTAAAATAATTTACTTAAGAACTTACGCAAACTGTTAAAATACATCAAACTGTCAAGTGTTAAAAATCAAGTTTTTTAATCAAAAGTCAAGGCTTTACTAAGAAAAGAAATTGAATTTCATCTTGATGTAAAAACTCGTTGGAATACAATACCAATAATAATTGAGCCATTGATAAAGACAGAGACAGCAATTCAAGAAACTTTATTAGAATTTAAGGCAGATATACGTTTAGCTAATAATGTAGACTTCGTTATCTTGAAAGGTTTACTAGAAGAAATGAAACCCATTAAACTTGCTATAGAGCATCTAAGTAGAGAAGATGTAACTCTGTTGAGTGCTGACACAATTCTAGAATTTATGTTAGGGAAACTTTATTTATTTAACAATGAATTGAGTGAACAGAAAACAAGAAACAGTGAAAAGCAAAAAGTTGATGGATAATTTGAGAATTAGAGTGAACGCCTGAATACAGATGTCCTGAAATTATTACACTTTCTAAAGAACTCTACAATAACCCCATCCAGAGATACGATAACTTTTGCAGGAATGTTGGCATTTTGACTTTTTGGTGTTCATGACGTTAATATTATTGAAACAACTTCCAGTAATCTATCAGATAAAATTTTAACTCTACAACTGATTGTGTTGCTGAAGAAAAATGAATCACCAATAGTGCCTTCTGGACAGGACAATTTCAGGTGGTTAAAAGCTGAATTTACTCTTTTTAAGAATACAGGTCAGCGTACAGAAAACTTACAAAAGCTTTATTATGCATTATTAACAATTAAGCCCACATCTACGGATGTTGAAATAGTATTCTCTGTTTGTGACAGCTTTTGTACAAAAATAAGATCACGACTTTCAGATAAATCATTATCAGCTCTTGTATTTTTGAAATACTATTATAAAATGTAAAGTTTATATTAGGATATATATTATTAAAAATTATATAAAAATTTTACTATTGCCTGCTTAATACAAGGAGGGTTGGTGGGGGTAATAAAGGGTGCAAATTTCAAAAACAGTAAAACAGCAGTTAACAGCTGTTTTTGAAAATTATAAAATAGTAAAACAGCTGTTTTTTAAAAACCACTGTTTTTCAGAAATTTCTTTTACTTTGGCATCAACACAGGTGTTAAACTTTTGGCTAATTATTAAGTTCAAGTGTTGAAATATTTGTGCCTAACCTAACATTGTCTTGGTTTTTACTTAAGGAAGCAAAGCTATTCAAAATTAAAATCATTAATATATGTTAAATTATTAATTAAAATTATTTAATTAATAAAATCATTGAAAAACGGAAAAACCAGGACAATTACAACTATAGCCTAAGGATAATTCAGCAACTAGCTATCAGTTTATACTAAATGCGATGTATGGTGTAAACACGCTGTACACTGTAAAATAATTTATATGCTGGAGGGCTTGCCATATGCAGCATTATTCAATGCATTCATGCTTTTACTGGTCTAATATCACTGCTGTTAGCTAAACAAATTAAATGAATAAACTTATAAAAGTTAATAAGGGTTAGTTAAGAAACATTCATATGCTAATATTCAGTTATAAGAATTCAGGTTTCCTAAAAATTTTTATGACAAGCAGGACTCCAGACTTGATAAAAATTGAGACTCCTGGACTCTGTGTCCCTGCAAAGAAATATCTGTTTACTATTATTTTGTCAAGTTTATTTAAAAGACTTCGAAGATCTTTTAACCCTTTCACGACTGAGCTAAAAACAGCTACATGCACGTAAGATAAAGAACTAGAATCATGATCAATTGAATGAGTATAAAATAAAAACTACTAGTCAGAATTTTAAAAACAAGACCTTGTTTTTTTTTGTTTAAGAATTAACTTTCAGAATATCTGAAAGAACTTTAAAAAAATTTTGTTTATCTTATTTACGTGATCAAATTATATAATGTTAAAATTAACAAAAATATATAGTTTCTTTATGTGTACTTAAACAAATAAAAAAGAAATAGATAAACATATCATTTTTAATATTAAATTATTGTAGCCTTTATAGTGCTGATCAAACAAAAAAATATCTACCACTATCATTGAAAAAAATATAAATGATTTCATTGATATCAATATAATATAATCTGTTCTTCGTCATTTTTTGAAATTGATTTTTGAGCGATCTATAAATGCAATTAAGAAACGGTTTGAAGCATTAACTAAAGAAATTATTCACAATTCAAAGATAGCTTTAAAGTTTTTCCCAAATGCTATAGATGTTTTGAAGTATTTAAAATTGTTTATGCACCGCCATGCGGGTCACTTGTCATTTAGATACAAATTTTATGAACCGCCATACGGGTCACGCGTCACGAAAGGGGTAAAAAGTAATAGTTAATTTTTTTAGTTAAAACATTTTAGGCAAGTACTATAAAAAATGCAACTGTTTTGCCTTAAATTTTAAATATTTGCCTTATTTTAAATATTAAATGCTTAATTCTTAGTGTAAAATGAATTCAATGTCATAAAGTTCTCTTTATTTTTTTAAGGAAGTTAACTTTTTTAAACTGCAATATATT